AAGGTCCCTCCCAACCCGAAGATTTCTATATCTTCTTCCCTGGAGGTAAACGTCAATGTCATCTCTTCTCTAAATATAATGAGACCGCTCGGACACCGAGCCCACAGCGTGGTAGGGGTGGGGTTGCCCGCTCTTTTGTTTTTTAATACTACTACGCTGAATATTGTGTGCGGATTGGGTTGTCGTACAGGGGTACTACATGGTAAAATAAATCTCTTCGGCGAAAACAGGATAATTTAGATCGAACTTCACTTGGTAAGTTCGTTTGATCATTCAATAATATCATATTATGATGATTAGAGAAGACAAACTCGTGACACAGTCTCGTCTGTCCATATGATTTTATAATGAGGAGTTATTTAATAACCAGTTTGAGAATAGTATCACACAATTCCATCACTTGCCACCTCAACCACAAACTTAGCACATATCAGAGGAAGGCTTTATTAGCAGTTATAAAGAGATTTATGAAGGTTTTGTCAAAGTGACTCCGCCTATGCTTAGCTGAAACTTATGGCTAGAAATAAAACAATCGAATACTTCAATGTCGGCTACTGGTGCGCGCTAACCCTTAGGATCTAAGCGTTGCTTTGCTTCCCTCCCTACTCTCTTTGCTATCTTTTAGCCATTGTGACAGTTGCAGATTAACGCCATCGGTACAGCGCGACTGTGCGACACGGAATACACTCGCCCGGTCCATTTTCCAAGAACACAAAGTCTCTAATCTAATGTGTCAATGTCTAGCTTAGGCTATAAACAACAGCAGAACTCAAAGCAACGCAGTTTTGTGTATTGGAAAAGAATTTCCAATGAAAATGGAACCGACATGTTGCTGATTTCATTTATTCCGTTGCGCATCACTGTAGGAAGGACTCTATAACAGCGACACACAAAAAAGCATAAGCTGCTCGGATGAAAAGCAGATTAAAAACGTGACAGGAGGTACGGCCTTAATTACAAAAAGGCAAAAAGGATTTAAAGCACTGAAAAATGGTCAACCATTTTGAAATGTATATTATTTTCCTGTGGTTCAACAACGATGACACTCGCGTACTCCGGTGTACTTGTAAGTCAAATATTTGCTTTTGTAAAAGTGTCGACACATTTTTGGCGTCGTTGCCTTTAATACTTTTCATCAGCGATATGAAACTTTTTCGCTTCAAAGCTGTAATTCAAACAAAAAGCAAACCGTAATAATGAAAGCGTCAGGAGAAAGTAATGGTGTTACGTAATTCCACTTGACACTGATCATAATCGCGGCTAGACAAGTTATCTGATTCGCATAAATTCCTGTGTTAGCTTAGAAGGTCACCGTACAGTCTGCGTTGCAAGCGAACAACCCATTTTGACCTTTGTTAACTTTTAATAAAGATAAAAGTTTTAGCGGGCGACTGTATAAGGCGCGGTATACAAAAGTAGAGCCATTTATAAATTAATTATGATGTAATGGCCAGCTTTGGAATAGTTAGATTTAGTTGCGTGCTAGGAAATAATAAGCGTTTTATCTGTCTGCCGTCGTCAGCTCCTAAAATATTTTAGTGGAATAGGAACTCTATTATAATTACACACTTTCAGTGTATTTTTGATGGTGGTGCACGCACATGTTACTACAACCTGATGTTATAAAAAAACTTACCTTTAGGTTATTTACAGAAAGTAAAATAAGAAAATGTATGAAAACAAAACATTTTCTACAATGTATTATAAAAAAAATACTTATGCTCAAGCGCGCCCTGGCGGTCGACGGGACCCCTGTCGTAGCAATCTCGTAGTGTTTTCGTAGCACTGAAGGCCTCCTTTTCTTGCAAACTCTTCTAAGTTTTCATAACATTCATAACATTTTTATCAAATCGCTGCCATCTATCCTTATTGGAATATCTAGACGATCGTGATCATTATCAGCACCTTTTTTCAAGGATAGATAAAAACTTCACATACATTTGTATTGCATTATTATAACTGATTGTAACAAAAACAGTAGAATTTTCTTTTATTTACGCCATGTAAGATATTCAATCGATTAATCGAAATGATGTCACAGGTTCATATGTTTCCACAGGTCATAAAACAATAAGGCAATTGACCCATTTTATCTCTGACACGAGTCGCCTTCGCCTTAATTTCCATTATTGGCGTGTTTTTCAAGCAGCATCTTTATTACAATATATGGTATTTACATGAATACACGTATTCCTCAATATCATATAAGAATGCCAGTATCAAAACTGTTTACGTGCTCCACGCGTAATGTATTTTTCTCATATTCCTGGAACATGTTGTGGCAAGGAATACGTTGAAAAGGTTACGTTCCCGCGGGAATCCACTAAAAAGCTTTTCCTCAACCTCTTGTTTCTTACATTGAAAGCTTCGACTCTGAAGCGACTCGTTCATTTCGGTTGTTATGTTAAAGTATTTCGGGAGAGGATAAATTACGAAGTACGTAACTCAAATCAATTGTGGTAACTCTCGGAGTTTACTTTAAGTTCTCAATAATAAATCAATGTAACATTAGAATCACAAAGTAAATCAAATCAGAATTCCGACTCTACATTTATGTAAATGATCGGCTTAACTAGTGAGACCAAGAGATCTTGACATTACATAAGAGTTCAATTGTATAGTATTGCTTACTGCATTTGACCATAGAGGCCGCGGTGGTGGATTCCGTATCGGACTACAACCATATAGTACCTGACATTTACTATAATTTGACCATTGCATTGGCACCGCGAGGCATGGGGGATCCCGTAACCAACATCAGTTGCGGTCGCGGATCCGAATCCATTTCAATTTCCCCTGCAGGCATGAACGTTATATTTAATATCTGTATAATATGGCAATAGCTTGCACGTACATCATATCTCCGTTATCTAGCTTTGCTTACTTTGACGTGCTTTGACGCTGTCATTGATGTGGTAATTCAAACAATTAATATAATTATTTGCGCGATTAGATAGTCTTGTCAGCCATTGCTTAATCTTACAGACACTATTTGCAACTGTGTTATTAAGTAGGTACCATTCTGAATAAACAGCAAAATGATAATTAGTACTTTAAGGGCCAGTTTCGCCGGTTCTTGATAAAGTTTGAGATAGTTATCTGAATGAGCAATACCAGCATCAGATTTCTTTAAAAATTCGCTACCAGGTTTTCCAAACATAGTTTGTGCTCGTAAAAGATCCAAAACATACCGTATCGTTTCGCGCGCGCGTGTCACCTGTCACTTTTGATTGTGACCGTTGTGCTAAGTTATGACAAGGACAAACAGACACATTCAACTCCTACTTGTTATGCAAGAGTAAAATATAAACTACCAAAGATAACTCACGTACTACGAGGTCACGCTGAGCGTACCGCCACATTGTCTAATAATGTCATTATTTAAGCACATTTTCTCAAAGGTGAGAATTGGGAATTGGGAATACACCTACCTCCTACGATACTATCGAAAAATATACGAAAATGGGATACTATCAGTTTTATTATAACAAAAGCCTTGACACCTCGAGGGCTGCTAACTTATAATTTATGATCTCGCATCTAATGCCAATACACACCACACCCCATATAACCATGACAACAAAACCATTTTACTAATATCTCCGTTTGGTTAGCCACATTCGCCACGTGGTTGTTGGTATTAGGTGTTAACCTTACATTTGTATCTCCGCCAGCAATACAACTGGTATGATCTTTGACTCGATACATGTTATGAACTTGGTAATAATATGTAAATTGTAAAGGCTAAAAATTTAATGTTTGTTTCAAAAATACAATAATTCCACGTGGCGATACCTCGAGGTAGCTCCGAGCACAGTCCGAGCAAGTTATCAAACTTTTTCATTTATTAGCGCCGTGCCGATAAGGCGTTATCTTGGCCACGAGCTCCGTGAATTATTCGTAATGCACGCTTGTGACATAATTGTTCAATATTACAGTATACTACACAGTTGCGGCGATAAGGATTTTATTTCAGAAAGTTATGGATTTCGTGTTATTCATAACTCTACATTTTACTTCTGGCAGGTCGTCTTATGATTCGTAGCGGTTTCTTTTTATTGATATTATTATTGACCATAATTCATCAGCCACGAGACCTTTGTTAGGGTAGTTCTAATGAAGACAATCTATCATCAAAGTTCTATCTTTTCTTTCAACTTCCTTATAAATGTCAATTACGTGGGAATTATAACTTTATGTTAAAAAAATTAAGGAACCAAAATTTAATTACGCTACCAAGAAGTTCCTCAGCTCCGTCCGTAACTTGTAATTGGCGTGTACTTAAATTAACGAACGAAGTTCACTCTTTTGAACTTGTAATGTATTCCGAAGAAACTGTTACAGTCCGATGCTCACCTTGTATTAAAGTTACCGAGACTATTCTAAACGCCAGTTTATGTTTTAACCACGGCTTGCGGTTACCTGACACTGTCCGCTATTTTTCATTTTACACCAACAATACCACAGATTTTGTAATCATTACCATAACATTTTGCGGTTTTGATTTTATGTTACCTGCTCGTTCACGATAATACATAATATTGTTGTCTGTTCCGAAAATAAGTGAAATTGCTCATCGCCATTCGTCATCGCTGTTGTTTGACCGGCGCTGCAGCATTTGTCCTCTACCTAGCCTACATTGTTTTGCAGAAGTATTTATACAAATGATAATTTGCACAAGCGATAATTGATTCAAAGCTGGGCAAAGCAGGAAAATACATCTTATAGGTAATATCGTGCAAACCCTTCTTAGTATGAGACTTAGCAAACGATAAAACGGATGTAAATCCATATGATAACGAGACGAACCCTTTAACTTAATCGAGCTAACTTCAAAATTACCTACTCTTGAATTCATAATTTGCTTGCCCTTCGCTCAGAAAACTGAGATCGGCATAACTTACCATTATCCTATTTATTTAGCCTATTCATCTCTTCACATGCCCTTCCCTTCTCTATTGAATTGCTGGTATCCTAAATATCAAATCCATTGTCAACAGGTCAAGATCCTAGTGCCGAACTCCACAGCGGGCATGATCATCGGCAAGGGCGGCAACTACATCAAGCAGATTAAGGAGACCAGCGGCAGCTACGTCCAAATCTCGCAGAAGGCCAAGGAGCTGTCGCTGCAGGAGAGATGCATCACGGTTGTCGGTGAGTGCATAACCTTGGTCCTTGACTATACGCATACGGACTTGCTGGGGTCTAGTGCATCTAAAGGCGCTTTTAAAAAGCCTATTTGCAGAAAATGAATGACTTACCTTTTGCACTCTTATCAAGAGATGCAGCAACACCAACTGCTCTACAGTTGGTGTTCAGGTCAGGTCAAAAGGTCCTAAAGTGCTACCGCGAGCGACAACTATGTTCAGATCTCGTTGAAGGTCAAGTATATCCCAACGCCTGCAGCAGGAATTGCAAGAGCGAAGAATACATTGGCTAAGGTTACGGCCATTAAAAACTGCTTTGGAAATATTGATAAAAAGACACCTGACAGTGACATCAGAGCAACCACTAGAAGGCTGTCGCTATAAATACTGGCAGTGAGTATTTGATCTATTTATCAGCTATTTCAATCTGTGAGAATCATACACATTTCTTTCTGTCGTTCTCTTTCCTCACCATTTTTGTGCGCATCAGAAATCAGTTAACCAACATGCACCAGGTAGACCACGATTGTCAAGAAATATGCTCTTGTTTCACTGTACCTAATTGAATTGATACTTTTGTTACGGTATAGAAACATTAATTATTAAAAGTAATACTCTCCAGTAATTATTTCGGCGCTCAATCTTCCTTCAGCCATCAAGCTATCGGCTGGTTCCGCCGGCCATCCATCTACGTTAATGAAAATTAATTACATCGGTGTTTGGCGGCCGCCATAACATGCCGGCATGAATAAACATGATCATATTAAGCTAGCTTTTACCCACGGGTGGTTTTTTCGTCATGGAAAGACTTCAGTGATTCTCCCGGGAGATGGATTGGAATGTATGCGACTATATCTTAGACCTCCCGCGCACTGGGCAGCCAAGAGTGTTCATATACCGGATTGGCTGCCATAACCAGGCTGCCTAGTACGCGGGAGGCCTTAGACAAGACACAAATCGAAAAACACTTATTGCATTTTTGTTCTCAGTTGGTTAAAGACATTGCAGTCTTATTGAACCTGATTCTCCGAAAGGAATCAATAGCGTAGTATGACGTTACTTTTACCGCAAGTTAATAGAATGGCTTAGGAAGATCGATTAATTACATAGGTAGCTGATGTAGATAAGACCCTACCCCACCTGTTTGCAACTCATGCAAACTGATGAGGATTGACTCAAAGCTGGTTTACAATAACTGGCTTTAAATAATGACTCGAGTGCGGATTGTTGGATATTCAGCCTGGAGTTAAACGAGATTTATAATAAAGTTAATCACGAAGTTAATTATGAATCTCGTTCAATATTTATAGTTGCATTTTTTAAATAAAAGGTTTTTCCCGTAAACAGATTCGTACGCATGGCCAGATTTAATACACTTGTTATGGGAGCTTCTATTGGAACGGTATTACGGCAAAGGATTTTAGTCGGAACATATCGCTATAATTTCAATCGTAGTGTAGGTGTTATTATGTTACATTACTATTCCTAAACTTCCATGATGCTTATGGCGAAGTTATTATCCGTTATAATTCAATTCAAATATCCAATCCATTGATGGATTCAGATGGTGGACAGTCATTATTAAATAATCAGTTCTTTCGATGAGGCTAGATTGTTGTAAAACTTTTGTAACTACATAAAAGTTGAAGCAAATATTCTTCTTTTAAAACGCAGCTATATCCTTCTTTTAATCTTTAAAATATGCTATGCAGTAAGTAAGATTGCTAGAATTCTAAAGAAGCTGCAATAATCGAGCATTGAAGACATAGTTTGCCCAGCCGAGCGAAATAATCCGCGTCGGCCGCAACTATCAAAATATTCAACGCGATAAACGGTTAAATCAAAAAAGGAAAATGTTTCAGATTTATTTCACAACGACTACTGAATTATAACGTATATTTGCTCATATTTTCTTTCACTGAAATTCAGTAGTGCGTATGAGAAAATATGAAAGAAACATCTCAATGACATGTAACACCCACAGTGATACTTGATACTGAACATTTATTTTTCCAATGAATGAAATTGGTGTTATATTTTATCCACTCAATAAACTGTCATATAAAATACCCTGTAATAACATTTATGAGCATGAGTTATGTTTTTCTCATTCTTAGGTATTTATTTATAAGAAAAACCAACAAGACAAACACGTATATATAAAAAACTTTTTTTATAACTAAAAAGACTCTTCTCTTCTCATATCTGTTTTCTTTCTTCAAGCTCTACATTATGGTCTTGCCAACTCTGTGCTGGATTGAACAGTTGCGATAAAGCGAGACCTTGCAGCGCAAGAGCACTTCCGAGTAGCTTTTTGTCGCGATTATTTCTAGAACTAGACGACGTGTCACGCGATGGTTTTTGCTAGATGCTAGTGATGCGACTACATCGCAGAAATTCATCGTAAGGCTGCATACGATTTTTAAATGGTTTATGTTTTCATAATAAAAAACTATCGATTATTCCTGTCATCCCAACTAATATTATAAATGCGAAAGTAACTCTGTCTGTCTGTCTGTCTGTTACGCTTTCCCGCTTAAACCTCGCAACCGATTTTGATGAAATTTGGCATAGAGATAGTTTGAGTCCCGGGAAAGAACATAGGATAGTTTTTATCCCGGTTTTTGAAACAGGGACGCGCGCGATAAAGTTTTTCTGTGACAGACAAAAATCCACGCGGGCGAATCCGCGGGCGGAATGCTAGTAATAAATAATAACTATTCAAGATTAGGAATTTATTTTACACTTATTAACTTTTCATTGACAATATTGTCAACGATATTCATATTTAAAATATTTCATTTTCTCACTCTTCTTAGTCCTACCTCAGTCATTGCACTGACGCTTACGTAAGATATTTTTACGGGGTTTTATCAAGTTAAATTTGATTATTTACTAGCGTAGATGCACACTATGATGTGAGTAAAGACAATGTTACGGCGTACCGTAATATAATAAATCAAAAACTTGTCTTTTCTGCGATATAAAAATATTGCATATATCGATCATCGTGCATCCCTAGCGTGCAACGATAGATTTTTCAGAAATCTAGAGCAAATGCCTGATTAATTCACTGGTCTGCTTGTTACTTTTAACCTGGTGCTTTTATGGGCTGCATAATTTGTGATATGTGGACATGAACGACCTTTCGGTCACGGCTTGTTAAATTCACTCGTAATAAAGTAAAACATTTTATATTTACTTCTGAGAAAAAATATACCTATGTGATTAACTTTTCTGAATCTTTCTCGCACGACCCCATCTTCCCTAACAAGTTTGAAAGAAATTTCATGTAATTACGAATGATTTGAAGAATTTCTGTTAAGTTTATTCGTTGTTGCTGCTTTACCATAAATAACTTCTGATTTTATTTATTTATTCTTGTTCCTTTTTCTTTTTGCTGAAGATATTATTCTGTTATAAATTTGCAGCAGTAGGTACCTTTAAAGATTCCTCGAAGAAAATACTGTATTTTCTTGTTATTATTTTTATTATTCCACCTTATTGCACCTATAAACGTACAATTTCGTTACTTACATTCAATTTGTTGGCAACATGGCCAATCGGAATCATTTCTTTGTTTACACATTTGTTGTCAATTATCATACATGTTAGAAAAAAAAATAAGTTCCTCTTATATCACGGGTGTTATTTTTACTTTCATTATAATGATGAGCCCCTTTGTTATGTAGATAAAACTATGAGACTAGCAGTTAACTTGGTCAGGGCCTGTGGTATGGGAGTTTTTGGGACGGCCAAACGTCAGCGAGACTCCAGATTTGTATACTCCGTCAGGTTCCTCAGGCACTGACTCAGTTCATCATCATCATCATCATTTCAGCCATAGGACGTCCACTGCTGAACATAGGCCTCCCCCAATGCTTTCCATGTTGATCGATTGGTAGCGGCCTGCGTCCAGCGCTTCCCTGCTACCTTTACAATGTCGTCGGTCCACCTTGTAGGTGGACGTCCCACGCGACTCAGTTAACCGTGTGAATAATAGGGATGTTTCCTGGGTAAAAAGCAAGAGTTTGAATGTTCGGAAGTTCTAATGAAGAAAGAAAACTTGTTTGATAGACAAAAAAAAATATACGTGTCCCATATTTTTTGATAATGTAACTGACGGACTAAAAGTTTTTTTATTTATTTATTTATTTATATTAGGAAGACCAGGGTTTACATAATTGATTATTTTACAGTTAATAACACTTGAAAACCACTTATAGGTCCCCACAGATAGAATTGTAGTGGATATTTAAAGAAATTATAAAAACAGATAAAATTTATACGATACACGATACACCTAATGTTGTAATAAAGAGATAGTAATTTTACTATATTAGAGTTCCCGTTACCTCATATTTATAATAAACAACATGATAAAAAAAAAAAAACTTACATGATAGGCTTGAAAAAACGCTCGCTCAGCAGCCGCCTAAGCGCTGGTATGCTAGTATGGAATAAATCAATATCTAGTTCCTTACTCAGTCTGTTAAATCTGTCGCCAGCACGCCATATAAAGCTATTCTGTCTATAGTTAGTGGTCGCCTTCGGAAGAAAAATAAGTGGATTAAATCTCATGGGCCTTAGAGGCGCCCTCAGAGATATTTTGGCTAGTAGGTGTGGGCAGTCAATTACACCTGTGGCAATCTTTTGCAAATATGTGACGTCCGCTATCTCGCGCCTCAGTTCCAAAGGAAGAAGGTGGTGTTTTCTGCAAAGGGGTAGGTATTCTGAGGAATTATAAGATTCTTTCATGCGAAAGCAGATAAATTTCACAAACCTCCTCTGAATACTCTCCAGTCGAGATATGTACACCTGATATCTAGGGTTCCAAACCTGTGACGCATATTCTAAGTGGCTACGGACAAAGGTGCAGTACAAAATCTTCAGTGTTTTAGCCTTAGTAAAGCCAACAGAGCTACGCATCACAAATCCGAGGGCCTGACAGGCTTTGGTTGCGATATTATCGATATGAGAGTCAAATAATAGCTTCATGTCATGCGTTACACCGAGATCTTTAATACTGGTTTTGCGTTCAAGTGAAGTCCCTTTGAGTGTATATGTGGACAAATGAATGGCTTGTTTACGGGAAAAAGTGACCGCAAAACATTTAGAGGGATTAAGATCAAGTTGGTTGCAAAAGCAGTAATATTCCAAGCGCAACAGATCGGCCTGGAGAGCATCAGCATCTTCTTTTGACGAAATTGTAGTAAAAATTTTCATATCGTCAGCGAAGCAAAGAAGACGAGATGAGTGGAGGCACGAGTTTATGTCATTTACGAAGATTAAAAATAATAAAGGGCCCAGTAGCGATCCTTGTGGCACACCACTGGGTATGGGCACCCAACTGGACATATAGTTGCTGACTACCACAGCCTGAGTACGATTTGAGATATATGAGGTTAACCACCTGAGTAAATCACCTCTAATGCCGATTTTTTGTAATTTCGATAAAAGGATACCGTGGTTTATACGATCAAAACATTTGCTGTAATCTGTATATATGACATCGATCTGTTTCCCGTTGTCCATTGCCTCGGTAATATAGTCATTAAGAACGACCAAATTCGATACTGTCGATCGTCCCCTCAGAAAGCCGTGTTGATAATCACTAAATGCGGTCTTAAGTGAAGCATAGATTTGGTCGTACACTATTTTTTCAAATACCTTTGAAATTATACAGAGTTTAGAGATCGGCCTGTAATTTAAGACGTCAACCTTGGACCCCTTTTTATGAACTGGTGTGATGAAAGCTGATTTCCAAATCCCAGGCACTGAGCACTCGAGGAGAGATTTTTGAAAGAGGAGACAAATTGGTAAAGATAATGCCTCGGCACAGTTAATTAAGATCGGTGCGGACAGAAGATCAGGGCCAGCCGATTTGGAGGGATCCAGTTTTGAGAGTAGCTTCTGAACTACGGTTTGGTCGATCTCTATTGAGGAGACATCGCACGCACTACCGCCAGATAGGTCATTTGGGGACATTACATGTTGGTCTAGCGGTGACAAAGGAATGTTGGGGTCTAAAAAAGTAGATTTGAAATAATCCGAGAATGCATTACAGATATTTTCACCTGTGTCGACCATGGCATCCTCATACTTCATGCTGCTGGGCATGGAGTTACAGTTGCGGCGCGACTTAATGTAAGACCAAAAATGTTTGGGATTGGTTCTAATAGAATCTTCTACAGATGAAATGTAATTATTATAACAAAGCGATTCGATGGTTTTTACTCTTTTNAACTACGGTTTGGTCGATCTCTATTGAGGAGACATCGCACGCACTACCGCCAGATAGGTCATTTGGGGACATTACATGTTGGTCTAGCGGTGACAAAGGAATGTTGGGGTCTAAAAAAGTAGATTTGAAATAATCCGAGAATGCATTACAGATATTTTCACCTGTGTCGACCATGGCATCCTCATACTTCATGCTGCTGGGCATGGAGTTACAGTTGCGGCGCGACTTAATGTAAGACCAAAAATGTTTGGGATTGGTTCTAATAGAATCTTCTACAGATGAAATGTAATTATTATAACAAAGCGATTCGATGGTTTTTACTCTTTTACATAATACTTTATAGGATTCAAGGTCGCATCTGTTTTTATAAATTTTGTATTTATGTTGATACTTGCGCTTTTCTTTAATGGCTTTAATTAGTGATGGGGAGTACCATTTAGGGTTTGAGTTGCTATAGACCAACTTGTGAGGGATATATTTATCCCGTAGGGCATTTAGAATCGAGTAAAAAGAACTAACTGCACTCTCAAGCGACACATCCAGAAACTTACCAGACCAATCAATGCCAGATATTTCCTCATTCATGGAATCATAATCAGCTTTATCATACCTGTAGCGTATTGATGGCGATGTCTTAAGAGGGTCATAGGCTGAAAAACATAAAGAAACCGTCAAGGCGCTGTGGTGGGGATCTATAGGTACCAAGGGGTCGTCACATTCACTAACTATTACTTCTTCATTCGACAATACTAAGTCTAGAATTCTTCCGTACGAATTAATAATACCATTATATTGTCGGAGGTGACACGTATTGAGTTCGTCGATTAATAGTTGTTCATCCGGAGTACGATAGTTGTTAGGGGAAAAAGAACCCATGGCATCGGGGAGCCAAGCTATACCACTAAGATTAAAATCACCAATAATAAGAAAAGTGTCGAACGGGTGAGCTAAAATAATGTCACTTAATTTAGTTAAAAAATTAGATAGTTGCAGAGAGAAGGTGTTGCCACGGTTTTGATTACACAAATATAATACACATAGGTGAATTCTATTAACTTTTTTGGTATTTTTACATTTAACCGTTAATGTTATCCACAAATCCTCAGCGGAGGACTGGAATTGCTGTTGTGTAACAACAGATAACTCTTTACGCGTTGCCACCAACACACCACCGCCGCGACCCTGTCCCGTAAGGGCATAGTCCCGGTCCCGCCTCCAGACCACATACCTACTGTCGAATAACTCCGTGTCAGATACACTATGCACTAACCAGGTCTCAGTAAGAACGACTACGTCATACGATTGTAAAAGTAGGTTACGAGAAAAAGATATAGTTTTAGATCTTAGTCCGCGCACATTCTGATAGTAAAGTGATAGTTGACGTTCCCTATTTAAATTATTTTTTTAAAAAACTAGCCTATTCTGATCATCAAAGACGTCGTTAGACCCAACTGAATGTAAATTTTCGTTTTCCAGGCGAGAAGGACGGCAACAAGAAGGCGTGCCTGATGATCCTGCAGAAGGTGGTCGACGACCCGCAGTCGGGCTCGTGCCCGAACGTGTCCTACGCCGACGTGGCCGGCCCGGTGGCCAACTACAACCCCACCGGGTCGCCGTACGCCGTGTCCTCCGAGGTGACCGAGGTGACGACTTGAACGCGCTCCTACTACGTCTGCTCGCTTGGCGTTGATGATGTTGGGAACTGTGTTGGGCTTTGCTTCAGTTTTCGAACCCTCTAGAGGAGTTGCAAAACGTGAGCTGAATTTCGATATCGCTCCACCAGTGACGTGGCACAGGCACTGTTTTAAAAATTGGCAAGAGCCCCCCAAATTGTAACTTAAAATAAAGGTCACTGTTCAACTGTTGGTGTCAGTTAGGCCCAGAACAGACGGTGAAACGCAACTGCAACGAAACGCAACTGCTTGTTACTTTTGAGTTGCATCTAAGTTTCTGCCATAGCATCCGTTGAGAGACCACACATGTCATGACGCGACCAGTTTGATACTTTCAGTTTCAGTTTCATTCATAAGAATCATCTGAAAGTTGCAGTTTCGTTGCAGTTGCGTTTCACCGTCTGTTCTGGGCCTTAGCGTCCAATTTGTGACACTCAAAGTGGCCAAAAAGTTGGCAGCACAACTTTATTCCAATAGTAACAAGGACGTGTTGCGAATATATTGGTTTCTTTGGGTGTCACGAAGTATTTGACGCTGATTGTACCTTAATATCTTCAAAACCTTAACTTTATCTACTCGGCCTAATGGTTAAGCCGGCCCTGGAGACCCCTATAACTCAGGGGCCCTGTATCATTGATACTTAGCAGCGCTTCATGGAGCGAAGTAATTACAAAGACACGTCATCGAAGTGATTTCGAAATTGCAACTGTTTTGTAACTTGTCTAGGGCAGGTCTATACTTACTCGCCTCGCTCCCAGGTGAGCTGGTTGATGCTATTTTCCTCTTCTGTATTATGTTTAGACATTTACAAGATGAAATGAAATTTTAGAGATGAGATAGATTCATATTGAAAAAAATTCCTTTTAATTAGAACAAATTATCAAATAATCCGGCCTTTCTTAGTAGCAATCAATTTTTTCTCTTATCTTTACAAAAAGATTCATTTACTGTGTTTGCGTACTAAAAAAAGATACTTCGAAGCTAATAGACACATCCAATAGTATTTTTAGATGAATTGGCGTTTCTGAGAATGGAAATTTTATCCTCTTACAAGGTTACTAAAAGTACATGGTATTATTCACATGTACTTACCTGCCAGCGAGGCTTATTGAGTTTGTGACGCGTTATTAGCGAACCTTTGGTGACACACTCGATGAGTAATCTACTAAACCACAAGCTTGCCAACACACAGACAGCTCTTAATGATGTAACGTTATCGAGGAATACTTGAGGTTTGGTTCCTTTGACAATTTACGACCTTAGGTAGCGTATAAATAAGGTTTCGATTCGCCTGACGCCGGCGTGTATCGCGGACAATGTCATCAACGCCCCCAAAGGGTGGAAAGCACTCGTGAGCGTGTTTAAGTGGTTACACACCCTTTGCTCGTTCTCATGATGCTGAACACTAGAATTCCTTTTAGCTCACATTTTGGATGCCAGGTTTTGGGTGAAGTGTTGTTAGGAAATACGCGACGGAGTTTGGTTAACGTAATTAAATTTTAATTAACATTTCATCAACATTCACATTGTGCGTTCATAACTGTTTGTGTTTCGGTTTTTTATAGCCGGAGTCTTTTAAGTTCATCCTTATTTAAAAATATAGATAATTTTTTTAAGTTCAAAACGATAGACTTCGTCAAAATCTAGCAAAGTCATTAGATCAACAACGCCTACATCTTCTACATCTAGCTCTAACTTGCTTTTTCTTCCTTTTTACTAACCCTTTTATCATTATTTTAGAAAATCTTTGTCTTCAGTTTTACAAACTGGACAAGTTGGCAAAAACTTAAACAATTTCTTCCCGAAAAATCAAGTATTTTACTCAGCTTTCTCTTATGTTTTAGCTTTTGGACTATGTCCAGTTGAAACTTGAAATAGTCTTTTTGAGCAATTTGACGCTTAAGTATTTGCCAACCTGAATTCGCCCTGTATGCAACTACGAATCAAGCCAAAATCGCATTCATACAAGCATTAGTTAGACACAATCATACGACACTTTCTAGATCTGATCAGAAATGTTCTTTGATTGAGTTCTTTAATTCATGTAGGGCCCATGCACACACGCACTTTTCATGTAAATGGAACGTGCTGATGTCGCAATAAATGCGAAGAAGTAGTCTAGTATAGTACAGTCACCGTCAAATAATGACACCCAAAATGGCCAAAAAGTTGACAACAATCTTATTCCAATCGTCACAAAGACGTGTTGCGAACTTTTCGACTACTGGGTGTCACTAACTATTTGACGCTGACTATATCTAAAGAACGTGGTGTGCATGGGCTCTTTATGTCTATAGTTTGGTGTCATCGATCGTCTTTTATCACAAAGAATGTCTCGCATCTTTAAGTGGTTGACGTGAACCGCTTGGTGTCCACAGAGCCACGGTCTCGGCGGGTCGGTGGGCGGCGTCGGCGGCGTGGGCTCCGTGTTGGTTAACGGCGCGGCGGCGGCGGCGGCGGCCGGGCTCGGCGCGCTGTCGCTCACGCTGTCGCTGGCGCCGCCGGGCACGCCGCCGCCCGCGCCGCTCACGCAGCACACGCTCGACCACATCAAGGTCAGTCCCTGTAGCCTGCGCTACTCGCGCGGGTGCACGCAGCAGGTGCACGCGGCGGCCGGGCTCGGCGCGCTGTCGCTCACGCTGTCGCTGGCGCCGCCGGGCACGCCGCCGCCCGCGCCGCTCACGCAGCACACGCTCGACCACATCAAGGTCAGTCCCTGTAGCCTGCGCTACTCGCGCGGGTGCACGCAGCAGGTGCACGCGGCGGCCGGGCTCGGCGCGCTGTCGCTCACGCTGTCGCTGGCGCCGCCGGGCACGCCGCCGCCCGCGCCGCTCACGCAGCACACGCTCGACCACATCAAGGTCAGTCCCTGTAGCCTGCGCTACTCGCGCGGGTGCACGCAGCAGGTGCACGCGGCGGCCGGGCTCGGCGCGCTGTCGCTCACGCTGTCGCTGGCGCCGCCGGGCACGCCGCCGCCCGCGCCGCTCACGCAGCACACGCTCGACCACATCAAGGTCAGTCCCTGTAGCCTGCGCTACTCGCGCGGGTGCACGCAGCAGGTGCACGCGGCGGCCGGGCTCGGCGCGCTGTCGCTCACGCTGTCGCTGGCGCCGCCGGGCACGCCGCCGCCCGCGCCGCTCACGCAGCACACGCTCGACCACATCAAGGTCAGTCCCTGTAGCCTGCGCTACTCGCGCGGGTGCACGCAGCAGGTGCACGCGGCGGCCGGGCTCGGCGCGCTGTCGCTCACGCTGTCGCTGGCGCCGCCGGGCACGCCGCCGCCCGCGCCGCTCACGCAGCACACGCTCGACCACATCAAGGTCAGTCCCTGTAGCCTGCGCTACTCGCGCGGGTGCACGCAGCAGGTGCACGCGGCGGCCGGGCTCGGCGCGCTGTCGCTCACGCTGTCGCTGGCGCCGCCGGGCACGCCGCCGCCCGCGCCGCTCACGCAGCACACGCTCGACCACATCAAGGTCAGTCCCTGTAGCCTGCGCTACTCGCGCGGGTGCACGCAGCAGGTGCACGCGGCGGGCACTCGCCTTTAGCAGAGGCGGCGTAAGGCGTAGGCGACGTGGGCCACCGCCTACGGCCTCGCGGTACAAGGGACCTCGCGCATCAAAAATTTTGAAAAAATGTATACAAGGTGGAGATGACAATATCACAATACGAATATTGACTATTAAATATAAATTCTTGATAGCTAAACAATGTAGTTAAAAATAAAAAATATATTTTTTTCCAAACAAATTCAGCCATAATCAAACACAAAATTAAGCAACAACAAAGTGACTGACATTATTCTTTAAATAATCACTGAATCAATAAATCAAAAACTGTCAATGTATAGACCTTTGACCCTTTTTTTTTATTATTTCATAAAATCCGTCTTCAGGTCGCCACAGAACAAGGCCTCGCGAAATCTGTCTTGCCCACATCAAATTTAGGTCTTGCCCCGCCTCTGGCCTTTAGCATGGTACTTACTCATCTATAATCCGGTTGCCGAGCACGTAGAATTTCGTCCAGTGACCCCAAGCTACCCATCCTTATCGCTCGCGCGTAATTATATTGCAGTCGCGATTGTGCGACGGGCGGCCGCAGTGAGTGTGCGAGCGCGACAGCAACATAATTACGCGCGAGCGATAAGAATGGGTAGCTTGGGGTCATTGGACGATATTCTATGTGCTCGGCGACCGGACTATAGCCGTGTAGCATGTAATGTATCAGATACTGTATCAAGTGAGTACATCGGCACGAGCCCGCTGCGAGCTGCTCGCGCGTGGTTCGCAGGGAGATCGCAGCGACCCGCCGACTGGCGGTATCACTGCGAGCACAAAGGCGGCTCGCAGTAGGATCCAGGAGCCCGCAGCTAGATACGCGATGACCATGGACGAGCCGTAGGTACTCACTTGAAGGTTGGACACGTTACATGCTACGTTACGTGCTATATGGCAGGTGAGTACCCTGCAGTGGGATCCAGATCCCTCAGCTAGATACGCGATGACCGTGGACAAGCCGTACTCACTTGAAGGTTGGATACATACTGCGTTACGTGCTACATGACAGGTACCCTGCCTAATAATGCATGGAAATGCACGCCCGTCACTCGTTGCGCGTATAGAAACACGTCAATTGGGCTACTTCGGCGAAAGTACAACCTTCGCGACATATTTATGCTCCTCCCACTCGCTCTCCATCAACTTAATAAGTTGCTCATAAGTGCCGTAATAAAAACAATATCCCAATTCCCGTCCGTCTAATTATAAAACAAGGCTACGAGACATTGACTCCATTGAACTAGATAGACTCAATAAAAAATAAACAACCACCCTCGCAAGTGAAACTGCCTACGCCAGGTAGTAAGTAGTACACCGACCCTGATCTTCGTCTATTCTCGTCTGTTTCTCAAGGACTCTGACTTTTATCGGGGCAGCCCACGGGATCAATGCTACTATTAGTTTGTTAATTGGGTCAAATAATGCGTATCGAATTTCCTTTGTTGCCTTTTATTTTTGGTATCGTGTTGATGGGGAATTGAGGACCGAAATAAAACCCTTCAATAATTTATATTGAGTGACGTCTAGAAAGTTAGCTTTTGGAAAAGGGGTTAACTTAAGACAATAAGTAAGTCTGTGGTTTGAGGAGCAAACCGTAATCGCTTCATCATAAGTTTTTCTTCTAGTATGACAAACTTGAAATGAAATTACAAATCTTAAAAAAGTAGTAAAATATATTTCTTTGACGATCTGACGCATATAAGGCCTCCACAGCCCTTCTGGCCGTGAGGAGTGAAGGCCGGATCCTGCGTTGCCTCTGGAGAGAGTCGTGCTCCTAAAGTGGGACTAAAATATGACTTGACTAGCTTTCCGCCCGCGGCTTCGCCCGCGTGGAATTTTGTCTGTCACAGAAAAACTTTATCGCGCGCGTCCCTGTTTCAAAAACCGGGATAAAAACTATCCTATGTTCTTTCCCGGGACTCAAACTATCTCTATGCCAAATTTCATCAAAATCGGTTGCGAGGTTTAAGCGGGAAAGCGTAACAGACAGACAGACAGACAGACAGACAGACAGACAGAGTTACTTTCGCATTTATAATATTAGTTGGGATTGATGATGATGTGGGTGACGCAAGTCGAAAATGTATACTACACAGCATACACAAATGACGCTTCTAACGCTGATGGTCTCGGTCAGGTGGCTCTCCGCCAGTCCGGCTACAGTGAGGCGGGCGTGACGGAGATCGCGGCGGCGCTGGCGCTGCTGGTGAAGCACGGCGTGCTGGGGCTGGCGCTGCCGCAGCCGATGCCGCACGCGCCGCTCTCCGCCGCCTACTTCCCGCTGCCGGCGCAGGACCCGCCCGCCGTCTTCGGCCCCATCGGCCAGGTCGGACTTGGTGAGTGGACTGACTTGTAAACTTCTCATGGGATGTGACGTTGTTCGATAAGTGATAAGTGATTAAGTATAAACACACATTACATTGTACATCACACATATGACGTATTACATTACACATGTGACGTACTACATCACACATATGACGTATTACATCACACATGTGACGTACTACATCACACACATGACGTACTACATCACACACATGACGTATTACATCACACATATGACTTACTACATCACACGTTAGACACTGCATGCATCAGTGACATATTCTATCATAAACACATATTACATTATACATCGCACATATTACATTATACACCACAAATAAGACATACTACATTACACGTATGACATACTACGCATATGACATTCTACACCGCACATATTACAATTTAAAACACACGTTATTATGACATATTATGTGCGGTAAAATAATAGGTACGCTTTATAAAAGACATAATTTAACGCGAAATACCAAAGATTACAGAAAAGCTTTGGTGAGTCAAACCGTTGACATCATCCCAAGAACATTTACTGGTTTACCACAGTGAACAACAACTAATTGAATAACAGATACAGAAGCGTCGAACTTGCTTTGGCGAACCGCAATGAGCGCATTTTACTTATGCGGTCTCGATCGATGTGTTCAAACAATAGTTACAAAATGTTTAAAAGAATGTAACATACAACGTCAGAAAGATCTCATTCTCAATGTTATTAAGTTCAAAAATAAAATGTTTTAAGGTAAATGAAACAAATAAGTCCATCGCACACACATTATCATTACAAGTAATAGAGCATCATTTTTTACTCTCGGCACTACACGAATGTTTACACAAGTTTACTTACAGTATCGAACACGCGACGCTTAATTACTCCACACAAATCACCTTCAGATAAGAATAATGAACGTTACGCAAAGACGATTGAATTGTTTATGTAATAATTAAATATTTATAACGACTTTGTCAAAGGATTTTATTTGATTTGTTTATTTAGTAAACAAGTGTCGTGACACTTGTGCGTTTTCTATGAGATATCACTAAACTAAATAATCCAAATTTAGACTGTTTATAAACGTTTATATCAAATGCTTCCTATGAATAAAATATCATCAGAGAACAATGCGTCTCCTGTGACCTTCACCGCGTCAATGCCACGTACAAATGCAATGCAGTGACTGCATGTTACATAATCGATTCAGCCGCCTTTGTGACCGTTCTAATTTTACATACTGTGAGAACGAGAGGATGTGGCTTAGGGCACACCCTGTATTGTTCTGGGTGACACTTTAGCACTGAATAACGTTGTATTTGCCAGCTTTTTTATTATAATTTTTGTTGGGAAGTGCTGGAGTGTCATAAAAAGTCAGTCCATTTAAATTTAAAATGATATAAGAATACTAATTATGCAGATTATAATGTCAAGAGGACCAATCTACTTTTAAAGTTCGTATCGTAACGACTTGTTTACAAAGAATAAAAACTTATTTTTATTTTAAATGGATGGACTTTACCCTATCGATAAAGGTCGATCTACACATTACGAATTTATCAATTTGAAAATATTTTTGTCTCGACTCATTCGTAATGCGTACATTGTCCGAGTTTTAGTCATAATAAAGTTTTATATTGGCAACAAATATTGAATTTGTCGTTGTTTTGTGAACTGTACTCGATCGGAGCGCGGAGAGACGGGGCTCCAGCGTTCCGGTGTCCCCTAGACTCAGAAATGGCCAAAAGAAATGTGTCGAATCATTTATGCTGATGTTACTTTATCCTGAAGTATACATTCCCTATTTTTTTTTTTGCTTGAAGTGTGTACTAAACAACTCCAATTTTATTGTAACGAATTTAACTTTTTATTTTCTTTAATTTGAAAAAGTAGAGTTGCACTAAGATATCAAAAATGAATGTGCGATTAGAAGTTGCAGAATAAAGTTTATTTTTCAAATTTTTTAGTATACTTGTAATCAAAAGGAAAATTAAGACATGCAACTCATTTCACGCAGTTGCCATTTGACACACTTTTTTTTCTTTAATTTGAACTTAGAGTACAACTAGGTTAGTCAAGTATAACGATTCGCGCTGTCGGTTAAATAACATACGCATAAATCTATACCCCTTTGTGATAAACGTATAGCAGGTGAATTGATAAGGTGTTATGTCTCTTTCTATCATTAGAACGTAGAAAGAAATAGAACACTCCATTACCATTCATCCGGGACTCGATTCTGCTATTGACATCATATCAGAATGATTTGCCAATAGCTAGGTTTGACACCTGTCAAAATGACGTTATTGACAGATTATTCTGATAATGTTTGGATGATTATTTGTGTGAAATATTCTAGATGATTTTACTCATGAACAAGGACAAGTTTATCATCATCATTTTAAAAAGTTATGTTATTTTTATATTTCCATACATTATTTTACCAATAGCTGTCTTAATTTTAGACGATCTTCAAGCAAAATATTGCTGTAAGAAAATAAGCTACTATTCGTTGTGGTCTAACAGCTTCGCTCATGATTATGCCTAAATATAAAGAATTCTAACTTTTTTATTATTATTATTTATAATTTTACCTCCGCGAATATTTCCCACCTAAAAACGTCCAGAATTGAGTCCCTGTTATGCAGTTTATTGTCAAGGAGGCTCGGCCACGCCTCCCGCCGCCGCGCTCGCCGGTAAGCCGCACCGGCATCGTTCAGTCCCCGCACCGGACAAAATTCTTCGCTTCGGCTTCTCACCATCTCTTCCCACATGATTGGCTGTCGCGTTTATTAACCAGTATTTCGATTTACTATTAAAATATTAGCTTTTGACACTTGAGTTTTTAAGTTGGGGCTGGGCGAAGTATTTCAAATTGTTGGTTTGTGTTTTCGACTAATTAAAAAAGAAATGCTGTTTGAATAGTTCTACAAAGTACAAGGCACTACTCGAAACTTACTTTATTTTGTATCTTAACTGTGCTTAGCTTAAGATTGATATCATTTCATTATTATCCATGTTTGTTTGCTACAAAACATTTTACCATCTGACTTATTTCCAAACTGCCCACCAGTTTGGTGGTATTGATGTAACTTATACCATGTCCAATTTCCAGTCGGAATTTAACAATCACTCATCTCAGAATGACATAAATTTTATACCCAACACAGTGTATTACCGGTAAAAGCGTTGAATTCCTTTTGTTATTCCAAAAAATACAATCAAACGAATTTGAAATGGTTCGCGCCTACCAAACCTTTATACATAGAACTTCTAAGTTGACCTAAGACAGTTTGCATGCGTTGATTTAAGGTTGTATGACACGTGTTGTATTGCTGATTTATTTCCTTAACAATTGGCTTGTTACTGCGTTTCCGACGCTCTAAATTTCTTTACATCGCTTTACCATACCATCTGTCGGCAATACATAACTGACGTTGCGCGGTGGACGAGTTACAACTATCTGGATTTGGCAAATTAGATGATAAATTAATGAAGGACTGAGGCTGGCCGTTTTATTCTTGATCAAAGTTACTGTAAGTCAATTTTATTAAAGACTAGCTTTTGCCCACGGCTTCACCCGCGTGAAATTTAGTTTGTCACAGATCGTCATAAATTACAGCCTATATGTAATTCTGGGTTATAAAAATTAATACTGTAAAGATTCGTCAAAATCCGTTCAGTAGTTTTTGCGTGAAAGAGTAACAAACATCCAGACATCCAAACTTTCGCCTTTATAATATTAGTAGGATAGTAGGATATTCTACGATACGCGAACGCGAGCTAATTTTTTTGGAATGATGGAGAGTACTGGCATTCTCATTGCTCATGTTCCATAAAATACACAAACACTACTTAGTTTGAGACAAAATGCTGTGAACTGTGGCAGAAACTAAAGGTATCCAAATCATAAACATATGCCTGACTAAACAATGAAACCTCACCATTCATGACAAAATAATGAGTGTGTGAGAGCGTATTATGCGATAGGTCATTTTGCAATATATTTTTATTTTTTAAAGAGTAGGGTACCGCGTCCTTCCATAATAAAATGGCCAGCCACGTCAGAGAAAATATTAAACTTTGTAGAATTCAACAACATATTATTAATTATGATGTTGTAATTTAAGTATCCACTGCGCAAACAAGAAAGAACAGCATGAATTGAAATTTTATTTTAAGCTTATCCACGTAAAATGTAGTCTGGTTCTATATTTAACGAGTTCTTATCAGTTATTTTTACCCAAAATGGCAGCAAATGTTTTTTGTGAATAATTACCAAAATGTATGATCTAGCTGTATACACTCTAAACGAGGTACAAATTTCGTTTTTTGACCCAAATAATACACTATTGAACGTTGCTGTCAAAAGGATTGTTGGGAACCACAAACTCTGTTGTTTTCTTTATGGGACAGATTCCAACAGAATCGTCCCTTTAGATAACATGGTATGTCACATACAACTTACAATATTTTTTACCTTTGCTGGCAGTGTTAAAAGAATGTGTGCACCTTGCTAATAACGATTCGTTAAATACAAAACCAGACCCTTAGTTAGTAAAGTAATTTTATTTTGTTTCACATAATAATTTGATGTTGTTCTTTCTGTTTTCACCTCGACTTCTTCACGTCCGCACCACAGCGCTGCCGTATCTAAAGCTCTATAGTGACAGTCAGTTCAGCTGACCGGCCACGGAAGCAAGTCCTTAGCACACGGCTTACGGTTATGCTAGTGTACGGTTTATTTGCCACACATTATATGATCGTCGACGTATATGATGCATGTATATTATATTAGTCTTGTAGTGGTAGTTTTTCGGTTTTAATTGTAGTTCATGTTATAAAAGACGATTTCAGTTGAGGCGCATACAGGTTGGTTATAATTAAATGTGTTTTTTTTATTCAATAGTAATCGCTTATCAACTTCGGTTAAACAATAACGCTGTGTTTTACCTTTTTGTACTCACAAATTATTGTTTCTAATAATCTTTCGTAACTCCGTGACTCACGCCGCGAGTAACACACTTTTAAAACTTATGTTCGCTTTTGTGTCTTATTAAAGCAGTAGTGTCGTGTTTATTTTCACTTTTCTTCCGTATCGTATCTATTTATACTTCTTATTGGGAATTAGTCAAGTTTTCTTAGTACGTATCGTAAGTCAGAATATGGTTATAGGCACGTTCTTATATAATATCGGCCTAAATCGGGTTAGTTAATATCGGTGTAATTCTAAGTTTCTAACTAGTAATTATTGGGTCTAACTTGTATCAAAAAATAATTTTAACTCTTTTTCTTTTCTCGTACTTCGTTGCCCGCAAATTATCGGCATTTTTACCTACACTCGAAATTGTAAATCTAGCTCGAACCAAAAATTATCGTTATAATGATAATATGTAGCTTACACTAAGTAAAATAATATCGGTTTAGTTTTAGGGACTATACTCGTAATAATTACCGGTTTATATCGTACCACAAATATCGGTATAGCTTACACTTAGTAAAATAATATCGGTCTAGCTTAAGGGACTATAATAATTATAATTATCGGTTTATATCGTACCACAAATATCGGTATAATTTAAATAATATCGGTCGATCTTTAGGGACTAAAATAAAGTATGTCGTACCTATAACAAACGCCGGTGTCGACGACGATAGTGTCGGCTCGCGATCGTGCACTAGCATGGCCGGCCGAGCGGCGGCGGCGCGGCGGCGGTGCGGCCTCTAACTCCTCTCTCTGACGACAGCCCGAAACGTTCTATTGTAAGTGGGCCCCGCGCCCGCCCGCGCCCTCTCCGCAACCCTCCGCTCCGCAGGCGGCGCGCGCGGCGGCTCCTTAGACCGTTTCGCGGAGGTTGCATTCGAGGCGCTTCGCCCCCCAGCCGTGGCGCCCATCTCGCTGTCGGGCGGCGTGGGCGGCGTCGGCGGCGTGGGCGGCGTGTTCCCGTCGGGCTCGCTGCTGCCGCTGTCCAAGAGCCCCACGCCGGCCGATGCGGGCGCTAAGGACTCCAAGAATGTGGAGATCGCCGAGGTCATCGTCGGGGCTATACTTGGTGAGTTTTTGTTTTAGAAAAGAAGTCGTTTTATTTATACACTAGCTGTGCCCGCGACTTCGTCCGCGTGGAATAATGACTTTGGGTAGGCACTTTTAATAATTTAGTCTAATTATTTTACAAATAGCTTTTGCCCGCGACTTCGTCCGTGGAGAAGTCGAAAACGTTCTCATACGATTATTTTTAAATGTTTTAACGTTATTAAAATATAAAAATCTTAAATAAACATGAAAATATTTTTTTCTTATATTTTATGAATATGCAGCTCGGCCTTTGATTCGGTGAAAGTTACTCGGTGGTATTATTTTTTACAACGAAATCGAAAACTACACCTACCGCAGTATTATTGGTAATTTTTTTTATATATTTTCCTACGGGTGCTAGAATCACCAAGCTTCCAGCATGCCACTGGCCGTGGGAGAAGGAGCTTTTCCTCAAGACTACTCCCACTACCTTAAGGGCCTCCGCCAAAACTCTCGCGCGAAAATGAGTTTATGTATACAGCGCAAGCAGGTGCCCGCGGCATGACTTTCATGCATTACTATGCATTGTTGGGCGAGCGCACGCAGCGGGCACCCACTCCGAGGTTAAGTGGAGGCCCCTAGAGTATGGTAGTCGTTAACATGACGTCATGATTGTAAAAAAATGCACTAATGAGTAATTAATATCAACTTTGAAGCAAATCACCACTAAAATAACTTTCTACCCCTTTTTAACATAGTTAGGGGGTGCATTTCACTAAAATACGAAACACGTCTTCCATTAATTCTGTTATAGAATGCTTATGCAAAATTTTAAGTAGATTGGACGAAGGAATCTCGTTATTTCATACAAACTTTGCCCCTCCTTTTTACCTCCTTAGGGGTAGAATTTTGGAAAATCCTTTCTTATCAGATGCTTACGTCATACAAAGAACANTGTGCATTGATCCATCAGTAGCGCGCGTAGTACTTGATCATTATTTTGCTGCGATGTGATTTTAAAACTGCGATATCTCCTAAGATATTTATTGAAATCGAATGGTGTAAAGGGCAAGAATGTTTAAAATTAAATACTTGTGGTGAATAATTTATTTATTTGGATAAGGATTAATATCATGTTTATAAAAACACCTTCGCAAATAATGCATTATTTTAAAACAGATTTTTTTTGCATAAAAATGGTTACTATGAGCCAACCTTAAAAGATAGACATATGCTACCGCGGACTTTTTTAAAGAACTTTTAAAGGGGAACAATCCTGTCATACATGATGTTTGCGAAACTTTAACCGTTTACGCAGCGTCAGCTCTCAAAAGGAAAAAAATTACTGATTTGAAATATTCTTGATTGGTGCTCCGCTCCTATTGGTCTTAGCGTGATGATAAATAGCCTAAAGCCTTCAGGAACTAACGGGCTATCCAACACAAAAAGAATTTTTCAAATCGGTCCAGTAGTTCCTGAGATTAGTGCGTTCAACCAAACAAACAAACAAACAAACAAACAAACAAACTCTTCAGCTTTATAATATTAGTATAGATTTTATCCATTTTTAATTTAATACATTACTAGCTGACCCGGCGAACTCTGTTCCGCCTTAAAGGCAATAAATAAGCCATCGCAATTTTTCCTCATTTGCTCTCCGTTTAGACCTACCCTGGACTACGACAAACATTTTAAAACCAAAATCAGCTCAATCGCCCCGCCGTTCTCGAGTTTTAATCAGACTAACGAACAGCAATTCATTTTTATTTATATAGATTCAGTAATTCATACATTTTATATTTAATTTATGTCTTATGCAACATAAATTTGGTATGTTTTAGCTCACGATTCTGGCATTTCCAAAGTCGTGACTGAGACTTTTTTCGTGTCCGTATTCAATTAGTTTTCGATGTTTTTGCATCTTAGTCTTTTTGAACTGTAAACACACTGTTTCAAGTCGAAGCCAATAAATATTGACTGAGACGAATTCCTAATCACTTTCTAGTTTGCATTAATCGTATAGGAAATATAGGAATTCATGCTACTTTGTTTACCCATTCCCGTTTTCGAATGTATTTGTCTCTTTCGGCTGTGCTAAATCAACGCCGTTTTGAAATATGAAAACAGCGTAAGCGAGTAACATTGCTACACCAAGGGATTCGTATACGATCTGGAAATTGAAAGAGTTGAAGAATCTGTCATAAACGCTGCTTCTTGAATGCACTAGCCCATTTATTGTCCCAAAGCAGTGGCAGGGTTAATGAACGAAATACGTTACCGACACAACGAGAGATTATTTCATTGAAAGGCTTTTTGGTGTAAAAATAACATTATATTGTAAGTAGAAAATCAAATTACATGTTTAGTTCGAAGTAGAAAAGTCAAGAGAAAGAGAAAAAAGTGACAATCGATAAAAAACATAAAAAGTAAAAAGAAGTTTCTCGCCGGCCAGGCGCGCGGCCAAGGAATTTGTTCGCACATAAGCGACCTTTACATTTTTACCTAGGCCGTCATTAGACAGACCTGTGTACAGTTAAAGTTATTAAAGTTAATCCTACCTACCACTGCTTTGGGACAATAAACGGGCTAGTACTGAGAAGAAGCACCGGGTTTATGAGTGTTTCTTCAGCTCTTTCGATTTCTGGGTCGTTCGCAGAATCTAACTGAGTAACCAGGCCTGTTCATCTCCGCGAGTTTACATCGAAAACAAAACACGCACGATGGCTCACCTACAGGATACTATTCGACAAGGCCTCACATACGAGCGAACATTGACACACGCACGCGTATTCTTGTGTTTGATGGAAGAAAATAAAGAAAATGGTGTACTAAATACTGTGCAGTATTTATCTGCCTAAATAATAATAAAAACACAGAATGTACTTTTTTAAGTTGCCTCAAGACATTGAGAGGTAAATAAGTAGTTAATATTATTCATGATAATTAATGCTAAATCATGTATTTCCTCCGCCATTTTCCGCAGTTTGGCACCTCACGTCACATCATTTTACCGAAGTCAGCCCTATAGCTTCGGCGCAGTGCCGATCACTGACGTTTGTCAACAAAATGGTGCTTGACTCTTGAGACAGGCTAATATACACCATATTGTTAATGACATTGAGCATACATTTTTTTAAATACCTTCGCGAAGTAAAACTTCTGTACGTAGTACTTAATAATATTCTGTGGTGTAACCAACAGGCCCCGGCGGCCGCAGCCTGGTGGAGATCCAGCAGATGTCGGGCGCCAACATCCAGATCTCCAAGAAGGGCACGTTCGCGCCCGGCACCCGCAACCGCATCGTCACCATCACCGGCACGCCCACCGCCATCAGCAACGCGCAGTACCTCATCGAGCAGAAGATCCAGGTACCACACCTTTAGACTTCAAGATCTGACCCAAGGTTTAGGTCGCGTCTGACACCAGCAACGTATCGTACCTCATCGAGCAGAAGATCCAGGTACCACACCTTTAGACTTCAAGATCTGACCCAAGGTTTAGGTCGCGCCTGACACGCTCTGCCATCAGCAACGCGCAGTACCTCATCGAGCAGAAGATCCAGGTACCCACCCCTTTAGACTTCAAGATCTCACCCAAGGTTTAGGTCGCGCCTGACACGCTCTGTCACCAGCAGTAACCACCGCTTAGTTCCTCAAAAAGAAGAGATCAACCTGACTTCTGGTCTCTACGATCAGAGATCAAAGAAGCGACGATAGCCGAACGATGAAGGTGCCTAGGTGTGGGCTGTAAAGGATCCAGCTCTCAACCACCTGAAAATAACTTAATAAACAGTGAAAGTGTGACGTCATAAGTCTAATAAGGCTGTGGACATGGCCATCGTTCCCACACTTGACTCGTGCCAAACACATTAGTTACCGAGCAGGTGTGCTTAAACTCATTTGTAGATTCAAGATTTTGTATCTTCGGTGAGTCTTTGATAGTGGAACGATCTACCATCAGTTATACGGTATCACTTATACCTAGTAGGTATAAAACTTATACCTAGTACGTTATCGAGCAGAAGATTCAAGTACTAGCAGCTTTGTACAATTCAACTTCTGTGTATTCCAGGAAGAGGAGCTTAAACGCACTCGCCACAACGCCATCTCCGGCCTCATGCAGTGAGCAGCGCCGCACTTGTATGCGCACGCGGCGGCTCGCTCGAGCCAGGGAGCATACAACGCCAACGTGATACAAAGTTTCCATCTATGCATAAGAATTACCATATCTTTCAAACGTTGTATACCTCCGCCGCTGCTTGCGCGACACCTCGACTCGACTGTGTTTTAGTATTTACTTTATTTTCACTTGCCTAACGCAAATTTTAACCGACATTGTATTGACGACTCAACGAGAAATTGTATATTTTGTTTTAATTTTCGGATTTTGAAACAGTCGCACGTCGAGGTCAACGCATACCAACTATCCTAAGTAATGATTCAATTCTTCAGTCGCGTTACGCGGCCACTGTTGTATTAAGCAATAAGCCATAACTAGTGAAATCGTGATATCGCCGGATAGTGACGTTGATCGGCCGTAGGGTACGTTTGAGACCGCCGGATCGCAACCGAAGGACATCTCAAGATACGTCTTGGCCTCGAGTTCGCCTCATCTTGAAACGGAGTGACATTGAATAGTACAAGATGAATTCATTAAGCATATAAGATCAGCTCCCTGTTCCAAGGTGAGGCGTGTCGAGGCGTTAGATGGCCTTTAGACTCGATGGGGAAACGGCCGACTCAGTGCAAACACGCGCAAGCGACGTTGCGGACGCTTGCACGTGTTTACAGGCGCACAATGTGCATCCATTTTCCGTAAGGTTTCTAAATGGAAGCCCATTGACCGCTCAAGGCAGTCGGCCAAGCGCGAGTCGCCAGCAGCGCCCGAGCGCCGCTCGCGAGCGCGCGGACGCACGCGCGAACCGAACAACGAATAATCTTTCTAAGCGGTTATAGGTGTTACGTGTATCGTTAAGGATCGGCCGACGGGCTTTCGACGTCTATCTGCGTAAAGTCAGATAGGATGACGCGATAATAATAAGTATAGGTAGCGTCGTTAGAATAAGTGCAATATTTCTCGACGCCCGGAGGCACGCGTTGTTCGGCGAACGTTCGCGCGCGCGTCCGCCGGGGAGGGACGCAAGTACAACGCTGGACCGCTCTAGTATAGTTTAGTTCTAGTCAATCTGCCGACGCGGGACCTCGCAGCGGGAGGGCGCGAGTTACCTGAGCGTAGTTAAGTTTATTTACCGACGGAGAGTATAAGTTAACGCAGCTCTCGATGGGGCCGCGCGCCGCCGGGCCGCGCCGCATCGGGCCGGGCCGGGCTGTAGCAACTAATGTTCGTTAAATAAGGCCCGCCCCGCGCGCGCGCCCCTATCGACACATAGTTACCTATTTACAATTAAATAGTTTATCTATATTGATTTTTTGCATGTACTATAATAATAGTGGTGTTACATAATATTATATTATTGCTATATTTTACGTTGTATGACGAGTGAAGTCTCGCTGCCTAGCAGGCGGACGTTGTTTAAGATGTAATTGAAAGATTGTGATATATCCTATCACGGAAATTCCTATTCCATTGCACATTTTATTTTTGTATAATATTCACCACGTACATCGTTTACGAGTTGATTTCATTGTAAATGTTACCATTGATAAGTTATTTTTTTAGTTACTTGACATCGTTAGTGTTAGGTTGAGAGTTGTTTTGTGTCGACGTGCGCTGTCACGTGACACGTGATAATGTTGCATGTCATGTAACGCTGTTGCATGCCATGTGACGATGTTGCATGTCATGTAACGCTGTTGCATGCCATGTGACGATGTTGCATGTCATGTAACGCTATTGCATGCCATGTGACGATGTCGCATGCACTGTAACGATGTTGCATGTCATTTTACAATGTTGCATGGCATGTAACGATGTTGCATGGCATGTAACGCTGTTGCATGTCATGTAACGTTGTTCCGTGGCAAGCACGCAGCCGTCGACCGACACTGGGAGCTTTGGGAGCCAAATAATGTCCTAACCAAAGTCGCTATTGTTTTGTCCGCGCCGCACCGCTGACGTCATGTCCACTTTGACTTGCGCCTAGAATCTGGTTAGCAGAATTGTCATTCCTGATTTCTCTCGGTAAAGATCTTTATTTTTTATACATTTTATAATATTGTGTTAATTTTATTAGGAATGTTCTAATAGTTATTATTGATTTGTTGTCGGTCTAAATTTATCTTACGATATAAGTACAATTTAAATGTAATATTGAAATAATAATGCATGTCCAGATTATTAGAAAAATTATATGTATATTTTAAATGTTTTAAAGCAGATTTCTATTTCTATTTAATGTTCGATGAGACAATATATTAAAATATTATCTTATTTACAGTCGCAATATTGTAATTTAAAGTTTATTTTTATCGCGCCGTTAGTGAATTTTCGTTTTCGTATCTCCGTAGTTTAATGATGTTTAAACTGTGATCGTTTCGTGGACATTGTCAAGGTACTCCATCGCCGGAACGCCGGAGCCGCAGCCGGCCGGTAGTTGTAAGTTCGTTTACCTCAGAAGTGCCATCGCGCCGCGACCGCCGCGCCGTCGGCCGGCGACACTTACGCAGAAGGAAAGAAGTACAAAAGTCGTAATAATCATAATAAATGTTACTATTACTCTGATCGGCTTAAATGAGTTATTTACGATAGTTTTAAGACGAGGAATTGAGAGACGGTTTTCTCAAAATAAAATTTAACGCACGATAAAATTAGTTGAAGCGGAGCACGTTCGAGACGCCATAACTTCGTACTTCCGTGAAAAGTGAATAATAAAAATAGTGTTATAATATTGAATCGTTGTAAGCTCTCCAACTGTCCAACGACATCTCGATAGCGTAAATTTATTGTTACCGGTCTACCCGTGTTATGTAGGTAACATTCGTAGCCGCATTACCGTAGCTAGTTATTACTATATATTCAATCTTTAAAGTGTATAGATATCGCTGTTCGACTTTCTGGTGTTTTTCGACTTTCTCATCTTATATGTATATTTGGGGGTAGGCACAGATATCGTCTTTTGTCAATTAAACGAGGATGGCCTCGCTCGCGGTCGCCTTCGGTGATCGAGTCGAATCCCAAGTTTCATTTCCTGTTGAGTGTTTTACAAGCATAATAATAATATAGCACCGAAGTAACCCGTATAGTTTGTCCCGCCGCGCGCCGCGGGCCGAGCGAGCGCCGAGCGGCCGCGGGCCGAAGCGACCGCGCGCGAGCGGAGGCGAAGGCGGATCCTCCCTACGCGCAATGCCTGTAAATGTCGATTTTACAAGCTCAATTTTAATCGGAACTAAATCTTGATTAGTCGGTACGTGTAAGTGAATACGTCAATTATTCTAAAACGCGTTTCGTTTCGTGCACGGATGTACGGCTAGCGTGCTCGCCGGAGCCGGATTTTCTCTATTCTACGTTGCGCTCTCAGTGGCGGCGCTGCCCGCGGCCAGGAGGTGACGCCGCCTGTCCGCCCCTGCCGACCCCTGGCCGGCCTCTGTCCGGCGGCCAGGAGGTGACGCCGCCTGTCCGCCCCTGCCGACCCCTGGCCGGCCTCTGTCCGGCGGCCAGGAGGTGACGCCGCCTGTCCGCCCCTGCCGACCCCTGGCCGGCCTCTGTCCGGCGGCCAGGAGGTGACGCCGCCTGTCCGCCCCTGCCGACCCCTGGCCGGCCTCTGTCCGGCGGCCAGGAGGTGACGCCGCCTGTCCGCCCCTGCCGACCCCTGGCCGGCCTCTGTCCGGCGGCCAGGAGGTGACGCCGCCTGTCCGCCCCTGCCGACCCCTGGCCGGCCTCTGTCCGGCGGCCAGGAGGTGACGCCGCCTGTCCGCCCCTGCCGACCCCTGGCCGGCCTCTGTCCGGCGGCCAGGAGGTGACGCCGCCTGTCCGCCCCTGCCGACCCCTGGCCGGCCTCTGTCCGGCGGCCAGGAGGTGACGCCGCCTGTCCGCCCCTGCCGACCCCTGGCCGGCCTCTGTCCGGCGGCCAGGAGGTGACGCCGCCTGTCCGCCCCTGCCGACCCCTGGCCGGCCTCTGTCCGGCGGCCAGGAGGTGACGCCGCCTGTCCGCCCCTGCCGACCCCTGGCCGGCCTCTGTCCGGCGGCCAGGAGGTGACGCCGCCTGTCCGCCCCTGCCGACCCCTGGCCGGCCTCTGTCCGGCGGCCAGGAGGTGACGCCGCCTGTCCGCCCCTGCCGACCCCTGGCCGGCCTCTGTCCGGCGGCCAGGAGGTGACGCCGCCTGTCCGCCCCTGCCGACCCCTGGCCGGCCTCTGTCCGGCGGCCAGGAGGCCCCTTCGCTTCTCTCGCAACACCAGCCGTCACGTCCCTCTGTAACGCTCACGGAGCCGCCGCGGGAAACGCACCGCTACTAATAGTTATCGATGGAATTATAGCTAGATATAATTATTATTATTATCTTTAAAACAATATAATATGGGTACGTATTAGATAATTTTTAAAATTACTGGAAAAATGTTAAACGTTGTTATACTGAAGTTGTTACAATATTTGAGAGTATATTATCGCGACTACTTGATTGATAATTTAGTGCGGTAACATTACCCGATTAAAATGTATCGTGTGGAAAGATAATAAATAGTTGAACGTCGTCCCGACTATTACGTGATCGAGTCAGAGCAGACGTTAGCCGCGACCGCCGCTCCTCCGCACTCTGTGACGCATGTATTGTGTACGCATTACGATTAAGGTTTCGATGTTGTAGCGTAAGGTAGCTAGTTGTCATTCTTCATTCTACGGTTACGGTGTGGTGACGAGGTGGGCACGAGCCGGGTCGGGTCCTGCCCGGAGACCGCGCATCTCATCCTCCTTTTAATTTTAATAGCTAAATGTTGTTGAATTTGTTGATAGAGTGGTTTATTGTAATTACTATAGGTAGTTTAGTGGGTATACAAGAGATGGTGGCAGCCGTTGGGTGCGCTAGGCTAGAGTAAGGTTCGATACTGTGTTTAGGAAAATGGCTGTGCGTTCAAGTCGAACTCAACATTAAGACATCACCATAACGCTTGTTTGTGATGGGCGCGAATCGCACACGACGCGCGCGCCGGCCGCGCCCGCGTCCCGCCTCGCGGCGCTACGAGGCGCGGGCGCAGCACGAGGCGCGCTCTGAATTCACAATCTGTATATAATTGCATAACATTATTTCATTTACGTTCTTCTCCTTGCTCATTGTCATCAATTTATTAAAGACTGAGGAATCAACTCGCGCATATTGACATCGTCACGAACGCGTCCCGATCGGTAGGGATTATTGTAATATATAATTGTTTATTGTCATTAAAATTTTCGCTCGGTTTCATGTGGAATCCGCAAGGACGTAGTCGTGTGCGATTCCCGCGGTACACTCGCAGTTCTAATCAGATTTCTGTGTCGGTGTGCGAGCGCCGCATCGTCGTGACTATGTTTCCCACAACGCAATGCGAGTGTACGGTGTGTCGCCGGCGCGGCGGCGCGCTGCGTGACTCGCTCCGCGTGTCCAAACCATAAACCGCGACGCGCGACGCGTGTCCAGGCGAGTGGCTCGGCACGCGACGCGTGTCCCGCAGCGCGCGGCTCGCGCCGGAGGAGCAAGCGCCGTTCAGTCGTTGTCTCATCAACCTTTACACATGTTGAGATTGATATGTTATACTAATTCTATTGAATTATAACTTGTTGCGTATTTTAAGTATGTAAGGCAGGCGGCGCCCCGCGCCCCGGTACGTTGTCAAGACGAATATGTTGAAAACATTTGTTGCTGTACAGTTCAGTGATGGAGTTTTTATTTTTATTATAATTTTGTTATCTCGGTTTACGATAAACGGGTCTGCAATGTTATGTACGAGAAATAATTTAATTAAGTTTCAAATGAAAATGTTAAATGTTTTGAATTTAAAATTCGGTATATTTTAGTCATTGTTTAATTATTTTAGTTGTCAGATTGATTTTTAATGAAGTGTTATTTTGCAATGTTGTATAAGATAAGAGGTAAAATGGAAGATTACAATGTCTTAGTGTTTAAAAGCTCGAAAACCAATTAAAAGGTACCTTGAACATTGTCTATATTATATTAACATTAAATAAATGCAAAATGATGCGTTGTTTTATTATAATCTCCACGCTTAACATTTTCATTTCACATTACCATGCATACCTTTTTCCTATCCTAGGCTACCTACAACCCTGTATAATAGAGAAAAAAAGTTAACTTTACTCCAGAAAATCAATAGATACTCTTCATAATGTTCGTTCCTTTTGTACTTGTTCTAAATCTGATTCAGTCTCCATAAACAGCTTGTCTCAAGGCTACGACCACACCCTCATTTAATTCAAAACCGTTAATATGGAGTTCCACTCAAATCTTCTCGTAGATGGCGCTAGGGTCGCTCTGTTTTTTTAGATTTGCCAAAATGTTTATTCAATCAATAGTCGACTGTTTCTAATGAATCTATCCTACCTTGTTGTCCTAGTTTTTTCCTATCTTGTCGCGGAATAAATTAGCTGCGTGGTGGATCCCTATTGTGGTTTTCATTACAAATTGTAAATAAAAAAAAATGATTCCAAAATATTGTATATAATAGCAATAATAATTGGTTACAAATAAAAATAAACTAAAGAAATAATAACTAAAAAACCTGTAATAACAAAAAATAGGTACAATGAGATTCCAAAATTAATATCAAATGGACGGATAATATAGATATTGATTGACATAATTAGTTAATAATAAAAACAAACTCCATACTTATTTCAATAAAAATGTTACATTCCCAAAAATAAATATATGATAAGGCATTTTTTATAAAAATAAATGTGCTGCAATATAAAACCTACTAGGCTACTACTTATGTAGCTCCATACTAAATCATTAAAGTTCATAATATACATACATTCTTATTAAAGCAGTTATTCTACAAACTATGTACACACGGCCACGCACTGTATCCATTTCCGTTTTTGCTCTCGCTCTCATCAAATGGCGATTCTTTGCGATAGAACGAGACGACATGACAGGCAATGGATAGTTAACACTGTTGCCGACCGATGGTACCTACCTAATTAACTAAAGATGTCACAAATGCATACTTAGGTCTAAAAAAAACAATTAAAGAGATCCTAACAATTAATTACCTACATAAAGTTAATTTACAGGTAGTGTCACAGTGTGTCATGAAAAAAATATCCTAAGTTATGGTACCTCTTCCATTGGTAACATACAAAGATTGGATTTTTTGTTACAATAAAAATGTTAAGATATTTGAGCTAGTGTTACAATATTATTGTCAATATCGTTAAATATCTGTTCCTGTACAGATCATTGCAATTCTAACGATTGTATTGAGATGGCAGCACAACATTGAGTAAACTTAACTGAAATTGCAGTGTCCTCTTTGGATAAATATAAATTCTAAAGTGTACCTTAAGTACTATAGGGAGTTTCATTCTTATATCGAAAGGTACATGAGCTACAGATTACTAACTACTATGAAACAATTTCATATTGTGGAATGTGGGGTTCATAATTAAAACTGTTGTAATGCGTAAAGCTAAGGCAGCGAGTGGCGGGGGACTCCGTAAACGGGAAGAGTTCATTCAGAAGCAATGTAAAGGTAGGTCTCTCATCGGGGTCCACCTGCCAGCACTGTAAACAGATCTGGAAGAGTTCGTCGCCGACGTACGACGGCTGCGACGGCCGCATGCCGCGCAGGACGCGCGCTGCGACATCCTTGTTGTTGGAGTGCGAGTACGGCGTCGCTCCCAGCGTCAAGGCTTCCCACATCAGGCAGCCGAAGGACCACACGTCAGCTTTAGGGTTGAATCTCGTCTGACGCAGCATCTCGTGAGACGTCCACCGCGTGTAGTCCGGAGTTTCGTGCAGAGGCCGCATGTGCGAGAGGCCGAAGCCCGATACTTTGGCGACGCCGTTTTCGCCGATGGCAATGTTTCGACAGCTCAACCTCTTGTGGATAATCTTTCTACTGTGCAAGTACTCCATGCCGCGCGCCACGTCCACACAAATCTGAAGCAACTTGTCCTCAGTGATGAGACAAAACTTATTGTTTTGGAGATCTCTATGTCTGCTCTGGAGCAGCATTTCCTTCAAACTGTGTCTAGAATCTTGAAGAACAACAAATAGAGTTGTGTTTGTCTCACAAATGCCTATTAGAGAAATAACATTTTCATGTTCACTGGATTTTATTAGCAAGTCCAGTTCCTGTAACATCAGCTTTTTGTCGGGTCTCTCGAGCTCTCTATCGGCCACCACCTGCACCAGCCCAGGAGTCTGTGCCCCGTGCTGCTGGACTCTCCCTTTAGTGAACTTGCCGTAGCTGCCCAGACCCACAACACAGGAGATATCAATATCTATTAAGTTTCTTGGTATATTCCACAGCTTTCTTTTCAAATTGCCATAGTAGTCTACTCTCTCATCTTCGTCCTGAAGAAAACCTGAGTTTTCAATCTCCACACATGGCTCACTTAAACTCAAAGGCATAGATTGAGAGCCCCTTTGCATTCGCGCCAGTTGGATCCTCTTTCTGAGAATAATGAGGAGTCCCAGCCCTATCAGTAACAGGACTACACCAATGGCAATACCAGCTCCTAATGCAACTACCAAGGGAGACATGTCTTCTGGTTCATTTATGTTCAAAATAATCTTTTTAGTAGATTCAGCATACCTTATCTTCTTTACATTTCCTTTCTCACTCACTATACCCAGAGATACATCAATATCATTAGTCAGTGGCAGGGGAGCATTATAAAATCCATTGTATGTAACTTTATCACCTATGATGAAGTCAGTTTTTATGTCGTAGGGGTCCAACTCTGCAGTGATGTAATAAGGAAGACCATGTTCTTTTGCATATGTATAGTTCCCAAGGGTCTCAGTGATATACCCTTGCTGGTAAAGTTCAACTGACACCACAACTCTGTATAAAGAAACAGGGCCATTAATATTCTTGGCTTGTGGAATATGTATGGCCATTTTATCTCCCCGTCTTTCCCTTATCTGAATCACAGGAGGACTGGGGTCAGGGGTGCCGATTACAGTTGTTAATGTAGTTGTGATATTTGGGCCTTCTTCATCATAATTTAAAGCTGCAACACTGATAAAATATCTTGATCCCGGATGTAAGTTTAGAAGCTCATTGTGGAATGTTTTATTAGATATTCGCCACTCTAGAGGCGGCAACAGAAAATCGGCATAGGTTTCTCTGACTGTTGCTCTCAAAACATACCCAGTGATGAAAGTGTATGCTTCCGGAGCCGTCCACTTGATCCTGGCGGTGGTTTCGGTAACGTTCATGACTTCTATCGACGAAGGCGGCCCCGGCGCGGTCACTTCCGTGTCGTACACACTCGTCGTATTTACACCTCCACATTTCTGTGTCTCATTCTTCGGACATGGCGTATCACATAACTCTGGCTGAACCTTGAACTGGCCGGGCGAATTGCCGCAAAAACAGGTTGATTCATTACCGATTACGGCGTACTTGTAGTACACTTGCTCGCAGGCGGAAAGGCATACGTCAACAGACTGGCCGGTATGAGTATTCAATAAGTTTTCAGCGTGAAAAGCATAACAGCCGAGGTAATAACCACGTTCGCCCGTGCACACGTCCACATAGAGCCCGATGAATATTGCAGCAAACACCCACGGCCACGGCTTCCCCATTGTTTATTCTTGGTATTGAGTCATCTACCTGTCCAGCCACTTTTAATTGATACACACCCAATGTATCTCATTTAAGTTTCTCACAATACTTTTGTATGGAACATTGAAAGATTATGACGCATGAATTGCATAGAAATCGTTAGAAAAAGTCATCACTGTTTGTATTGTAATTTTTAAGTTAAATCGATGAGAAAAGTAACCTACCGTAACGGCTTTGTAAAAATTGATTTGACAGACTTTTTTGACATAAATTACTGACACTTGTGGTGACATTACTTTTTTTATAGAATCATGATCATGGAAAATAATATTATCCAACCTAGTTGCAGGTTACAGGTGAAGCGTTTTGTCTTTAGTATTGTAGGTATTTTCTTGTTTGTTTTTTAATCAAATATTACATCAGTGTAAGTACTATTGTTCGCCTCAACTTTCGTTGAGCGACCAATAACGGCACTAGCCAACACTCGTTAATTTAATCTTTATTTTTAAAAGTTGTATAAGCATCTATATCCGGGATCAAGTACGACACTGTTGAATTTAAAAAATAAAAGTGACAAATGACATCATTATTTTGAAAAATAAATTCGTTACAAAACGGATTTACGGATTATATCCAAAGAAATGTAAACAGAGGCAAAAACTTGGATAAATTTGATTGAAAACAGTGCATTTATTTTTAAGTTGTATTTAAAATGTCTACCAGGTCTGGGAAACGTAAGTAACACTTTATTATTTTATCTCGTTGTAGGTATATTGAATCGAGAATTGAATCTAGTGGTGTTTACTAAATTATATGTGCTCTTTATTTTCAAGGGATTCATGGCTCTATACACGAAAATATCACAAATTCTGACAGTGATATGCCCGTGAAGAGTGAAAGAAAAACCAGAAGTCGTCGTTTAAAAGAAAATTATTGTGATGAAGTCATAGTGCCGAAAAGTAAGAAGCGTCACAACTATGTTAGCTACCCAACAGACGACGAACAAAGTGACACCACACAAAAACAAACCAACGGAGAAGTTCCCAAAACGTCTAAAACGACGTTAAAGGAACAAGATCTCAATGTTTCTATTAAAACTGTAGATGAAATAGATTCTGGGAAAGTAGTGCGGCAAACTAGGAGAACTAAAAAGTTATCTGAAAATGTTCCGGAAGATATTCCTGTTGTTGAAATTATTAATGTCAAAACTAAGAAGAAGAACAAGAAAAATAAGAAGAAGAAAGGTGTGACAGATGTTCAAGGTAATGAAAATGAAGAACTTGTTGAGGTACCAAAAAAGTCTAAAAGAAAGAAAGGCAAGACGTCTAACACTATAGTGGAGGTTCCTTTGGAAGTGGTCCCAACAGGAAATTTGAATAAAAGCAATGATTCAGTAGAATCTTTCCACAGTGCTGCAGGCAGCCCTATCAAAATTTTGAATACAGAAGTTGAAAAACTGAATGGATCTTGCAATAAATCTCCTCGTCGAGCATCAAAGAGATTTAAAGCAGACAGTCTTGAAGACGATGAAAATGGTGAAGCAGCGACACTCAATAGAACTTTTGAAAAAAATCCCAAGAAAATGAAGCTTTCCAATTGCAATAATGATTCACTAACTAATGGCTTACTGTCCGGTGATGAAAGTAATAAAGAAAAAGATGCAACATTTAACAAGTCCTATGAAGTTGCAGAAATATTGAATTCAACATTTGAAAAAAAATCTAAAAAGAAAAGGAAATCAAGCATTAAAAATTCCACATTTGATAAACAAGAAGTATCTCTACATGAGTTGATATCTGAGATAGTCAACTCTCCTATAAAAGATGCAATATCTAGTGATGGAGAAAGTAAAGGTAGAAGGAAATCATTAAAGTCAACCTATGATAAAACAGAGTCTCTGAAGAGAGTGGAAGTACTTAATTCTACATATGAAAAGTGCGACACATCTAATCAAAGTAATAAAACTTTTGAAGGCGACAAAAGCAACCGGAAATCTCTAAGATCGACATTTGACAAAACTAACACTCCTACTAAGAATGCCACAAAATTAAACTCTACTTTTGATAAAGGGAATACACCCAACACACTTGAAAAAACTGGAGACATCAAAGAACGCAGAAAATCTTTACGATCAACCTTTGATAAAGACACTCCATCTAAAAACGCAAAAACATACTCCACTTTTGAAAAGACTAACACTCCAAACAAACCAAACAAGGCCTTTGAAGGAGGTAGAAGGATGTCGCTGAGATTAAGCATGAGTGCAGACAAACAATCAGAGAAAGAATCTCTTAATGTAACATTTGAAAATCCCAAAGAAACTTCATCAAACAGTACTTTAAATAAGTCTGGAAACCACAAATTAAATTCAACGTTTGACAAATCTAAAGATTCTCAACGGTCAGCTATAAACACAACTTTTGATAAGTCCAAAGAATCAGTACAATCCAAACATAATTCAACATTTGACAAAGAAACTAAACTTGACTCCACATTTGATAAGCTCCAAAACCAATCAGATTCCAATGCCAAATCTTCATTGATCAGCTCTGACAGCGCTTCAAATTTAACGTTTGACAAGTCTGATGAAATCTCACGTATCAGCATCACCAGCGACGATTCGCGGACTGAAAACATTGTGAATACTACTCCGCTGTTGATCGAGAGTAGTATGGAAGAGTCGCAAGTTCTAGAGCCGTCACCAAGAAATATGTCGCAAAGTTCTGATGAAACTAAACTGAAAACTGCTACGCCGTTAAAACGCGAAGGGACATTTACGAAAGATAGTCCAGTAGCAATGTCTCCCAAAGAGAAAGGTTTCAACAAGACTCCTGTGAAGCGTATGTCTCTCCCATCACCGGGCAGCACCCCGTTTCCTTTCTCCAAGAGCTCGCAGAAGGAGCGGAGCATGTTGAACGTGACTCGGTCCATCGAGAAGGCGGAGCGGGGCTCCCCGCGGGCGGCGGCGGGCCCGAGGGCCACGCGCGTGATGTTCTGCAGTCCTGTCAACAATCCTGTTGCGGTGATGCAGCAGAAACGGAAAGTGATCAAGTCCAACCTGAAAGGATCTAACAAGAGCTTCATATTTGATGAAAGTGGTGAGTGAAACTATAAACTTATACTTAATTTGTCTAAAAACCTGTAAGGCTTCCCCGATGTGATTTTTTCTTTGTTCTTTAGATGCTTCGTTTTCAGCCAAATGACGTCCACTGCTGGACAAAGGCCTCCCCCAAGGTTTTCCATAATGAACGGTCCTGCGCTGCCCGCATCCAGGCTCTTCCCGCGACCTTCACCAGATCGTCGGTCCACCTAGTAGGAGGCCTGCCCACGCTACGTCTTCCAGCCCGTGGTCGCCACTCGAGAACTTTCCTGCCCCAACTTTAGATGCTTATGTAGATATTATATTAGTTAAATGGGTATCCAGCCTTGGCAGTCAGCGTACATGGTTCAGTTCAGCCTCAGAAGAGCAGCCTAATCCTAGGACAACTTTTTGTAAACTTAAATGGATAAGGCTAATTTGTAATGACAATGTATCATTTGTTTCAAAATAAAATGTTTATTGATAAGTTCTCAATCAAAAATTGAAGAAACATTTTGTATATTTTCAACGAATACTTCTTCTTTGTCCTAGGCATTTCAGTGATTTGGAGTCAGTTCTTCCCGTTCTGCGGCGCCAGGACAGTCCTGAGTTGTTGAACGAATACTTACAATAAATCTGCTGCATACTCTGTTAATTTCGCTTGCAGTTTCCGAGAGCGCTCGTCCAGCGGCCCGCAAGCGCTCGTACACGCAAAGCGACGCGGACGAAGCGCACGGGAAGCGCAAGCGCCTCGACTCGCAGCAGCAGGCCGCCGCGCGCCTGTCGCGGCCTCGAAGCTCCAGCGCCACAGGTGAGGCACTCATTGGCCACTGACCTGTATACATGTTACGGTTAATGTGATAAATTGCAATCGTACAGGAGGGTACAAGGAAAAGGGGCAGCCACAGTAGGTAACACAGAGTCGTTCAGGTGAGTGCCAGGAAGAGGTGCAGCAACCGCAGTTAAGGAACGGCTGGGACGAACAAGGATAGGCGCATCAAGCTCGTAAGCCTTGATAGGGTTACACTGGTTGAGGTGGCCCTTTTCAAGACTTGGAAGCCTGTGGGTAACTAACTATTGGACGTGGAGAGGGAGAGGGTAATTAATTATTCGTATATTTTCTACTTTGCCGAACTTTAGCTCGAGAACGGTTTGTCCAAAACATATGAATTTGGTCTTATTCAATGCAGGATTAAGTGGCCTTCAACCGTCATGAAGACCACTTTTTGATAGGGTAAGTCCTTTACGCGGTATAACCGGAAAACCGAAAAAATGCCTCTTTCAGGGGCCCCCACCACTTAAGCACAACTCCGTCGAAGTCGAAAACTTAGGAGAGTCTTAATGGGCAACCAATGAAGCCATTAAAACAATAAAATCTTTTGTAGGAATTATTTCCGATTTAAAAGCTTAATTCTTCTGGACTACAAAAATATTATAACAGTAGCCAATCCAGTGTATAATAGTGTCAGTGTCATTGGTGTATCTAGGGTTCTTTTTCAGGGGGGTCTGGCCTCTGACATGCCATGGCCAGGTGCGATTAGTATCATAGCTCATGAGTGAGTACTATCAACTATCATCTTCTAATCGATAGCCTAACATCTGGGGGCGGGTCCTGGAACATTCTACGGGGCCCGGGGCCGTATCCACCCAGCACCTCCTGTTTATACGCGTACTAGCTTTCCGCCCGCGGCGAAAGCCCGCGGCTTCGCCCGCGTGGAATTTTGTCTGTCACAGAAAAACTTTATCGCGCGCGTCCCTGTTTCAAAAACCGGGATAAAAACTATCCTATGTTCTTTCCCGGGACTCAAACTATCTCTATGCCAAATTTCATCAAAATCGGTTGCGAGGTTTAAGCGGGAAAGCGTAACAGACAGACAGACAGACAGACAGACAGACAGACAGAGTTACTTTCGCATTTATAATACTAGCTTTCCGCCCGCGGCTTCGCCCGCGTGGAATTTTGTCTGTCACAGAAAAACTTTATCGCGCGCGTCCCTGTTTCAAAAACCGGGATAAAAACTATCCTATGTTCTTTCCCGGGACTCAAACTATCTCTATGCAGAGTTACTCGCATTTATAATATTAGTTGGGATTAGTTGGGATGGAGGCACTGCCCCAAGCATCGGCGAGCAGTACATCAGAGCGACGCGGACGAGGCAAAGCATAGACTATACTACTAATCAATGGATGCATGTTTCTTACTCTTTCGCATACTGAACTACTTCTTTTTGTTAAAACATTACAAAAAGAAGTAGTTCAGTATGCGAAATATAGCAAGTGACAGGACCTTACTCTACAGTGGCGCTAACTGGTGAGCGCTAAAACGATAGCCCTCATTCAGTTGATCTAAACTGGGTTGTACCACTGCGATTCTAGAATCCAAGGGTAGCCACAACTTCACCACAAATGATACTAATATAAATTAAAGAACATAATTATAGTTTTGTGCCAAAAAGGTTCCTACGCGTAACTTTCGCAGTCAGTGGTCGATGCAGTTTGTAGGGCATTAAAATAATAACCTTCTGCCTTCTACCTACATGCTGTTCAGCCGAATATAAAACCTCTATGTTTGTCCTTTTGTTACGTTCGTTCACAGTTTTGCGTCAGTTTTGTGGTTCAGTAAACTGGGTAGGTATTGTTAAGGTTCTTGCTTTATTATATTGTCATTCATACTTGAGGACACCAACAGACAGGTGCGCTTTCTCAAGCACTGATAATAATAGTAGTTTATCGCCGCGGGAAATGTTAATCATGACAATAAATGGCCAGATAACGCTCACGTGTTGTTGAAATACCCAAATAATTGTGTCCATTGCATCGCTTCAGCACGTTTATTTAAATGCGTTTGAGTTTTCGGCAGGTACCGATTGAAAACAAAAGAATTGGTATACCTAAATATTGATGATGTCATATTTTCTTATGAATCGAAATTCTCGCGAACAACAATTCCTACTTTACAATTGAATATACACTTTAGGATATATCTTTCAGCTTGTCTATTATCACCAAGTTGTTGTTATAATGATTATAAATATAATAATATTAGATTGTTCAACAGAAATACCATCCAACCATTGAGGGCTTGTAGGTACTATGGGTGCCTAGATAACGGTTACATTCAGGCGTCTATCGTTTTATCTCTCGTTCGTGCCCTGTTGACGTATGCGTAGTAGATACTTACCATTAGTTAGGTCCTATCGCATGGAGTCGTAAGAAAGGTCCTAAATTCCTTTCATTTTTTGTAGAACTAGAGGTACGTTTGATTATAAAATGCTATAAAAAGATCCATAATTTTAATGTATTTATCTTCTTAGTCTAAAATGAACGTAACAGAAAACGCTCTTCCGAAAACCTATTTCAAGTTATTTATAAGCAGTTTTTTTCGTCGAATAAAAATTATCTATTCAATATTTCTTCTTTCTTTTTCTCACAGTAAAACTACCAGAACCCTCAACACCGTCCAAGAAGCCGGTAACGCCACTAAAGAAAATCTGCACACCTTCAAACGCCAAGTCCGATGCCAAGGTGTCCCGCACCAAGCTGCCCAACTTTGCGGCGCTTCACCGAGCGCAGTTCGCTAAGATGGAGTCGCTCGACGAGTGCCAAGTGCGCAAGGCCAAGCGCGCCAAGCAGCTGCTCACTCCTACTGGCTTGGCCATCGTCGAAAAGAGCAGCCCTAAAGGCAGAGGTATGTAAACAAATCAAGTCAACTTGAAACCTTATAGATGCCATTGTTGATGGTGATAATTATATTTTTTATGGTTACTATTTTGCACCGCCTACTCATATTCTCTGTTTGGCCTAAAGGTTAACTGGTAGAGAATGCCACACGGCATTAAGTTTGCCTTTTGTTCCGCAAATTTTGTGTGCAACAAAGATTTTAAATAAAAAATAAATAAAGGCGGCTTCATATGACATAACTTTCTTATCAGAATAGCATGACTCATACCTACTCGGTCTAATAACTCGGCAAGAGTTATTTTTGGTTTATTTCTGGTCTATTTGCCTTTATCGCTGATTTCAGAATCTCAATATGAGTGACGGGGATAAGCAGTTCTGAAAATATTTAAATGTCGTTACGAATTAGGAATTAGTCACTCTGGTACGGGTGCCGACATAGGTACACTTTTTAAGTATTTAATTTGTTTTAATCAATTATGTTTTTCTTGTTCCTTCAAGGCGCTACACTATTACAATTCGCAAACTCATGCTTAATGCGGTAATATTGATAGCTTGTCGAGCCCGCATTGCATAGTTATCGTAGGTAAAGGTACGGGCACATTGCGGCGCGGCAGTCGGCAACTTGCCCAGTGCAAACCTTGACTGGGTAGTGGCCGTGACATTGTCCTAACAACGGCACGTCAACCTAAACACTAGCGTCTTACGTAGTTGAAATAGGTACTATTTTTCAAGAAAAATGTATAAAGTCTGACGTGATGTTGGCTGTACGTGCGTGAACTGCCGATTTGCGAGCACATGGTGTCGCATAAAGTTGGGCTAGAAACAGAGATCTACATTTGATACGGTGGCAGAATACACTTACGGGGCGTCCCCGAAACAGCCCGTCTGGTACCTATCTAGAAAATTTAAAAAATGCCTTTTCAAATTGATACAGGGTATTGGACACAGGAAATTATAACTAGTTTTAATCTGAGATTAAGGAGCTTCTTGCGCTGCTTCTCAGCACTGGCCCATTTATTGTCCTGAAGCAGTGGTAGGGTTAATACTAGGACGTGTAAAAGTGCTTTTTAAAAAGCCTATTTGCAAACATAAATGATTTTTATTAGTTTTTATCCATAGAGTTCTAAGCAAATAGAATAAGAACAATGATTTATTTAGTAAAAAATGTATTTGTGTCTCCACACAGTCTAACATGAATATAAGTTTACACAGCAGCGCTAGTGGATTCGCGATGCCGCATTACCAGTGATTCATACCTTATTGACGCGGGGTTGGTATTTTCTACGGTGCCATTATCTTGGTGTGTCGGTGACGTGTTACGGCGACTACACTGCAAGTATTTGTAGTATAATTGCACAATTTTAGATATTTATTTAGACGATGTCTTGTTCTATTAGTTTGCTTCAAGATACTGAAAAATTCCTGCTGACATTTTTCCTGCAGCACCTCGGATCTCAACCAAAGTGAATTTTATTAATTACTCTGGCCCAGATCATAGAGACGGTGTCAAAGAAGCACTCTGACCAAGTTTATGATTACTTAATGTCGTGACTTCATTAAGAAAGATCCTTTGTATCTCTATTTTACATATTCTCAAATGTGTAACACATAAAGCAAATCTGGGGGCACGGCAGTGCCCCCACCAAGTCGAGCAAAAAAGCGGCACGGCCGTACCATCCTTTTCTCGAAGCAATTCAGGCCATTTTCGACCGCCTGTAACTTCGTTGTGGATAAAACTAGAAGGCTGAATTTTCATTAGCTATGCAGGCATTGTAAAGACACGGTATATTTAAAATTTCATTCAATTTGAACCAGTAGTTTAAGAATTATAACGGGTCAAAGTTACTTAATTTTGTCACTCACTGACTGACTCACTGACTCACCGATCATCAAAACTCTAAGGCACTTCTAGCAGACCTAGAAGCTTCAAATTTGGAATATAAGTAGTGTTTGGTGTATGAATCAAGGAAAAACTAAAATATTTGGGGGCACGGTAGTGCAACCGCCAAGTCGAGTAAAATTTTTCAATTTCGGTCCAGTTTTCTAGATACATAACTGCTGTCTACAAAATACAAAAAGAAATGAGATCCCATCAAAAACAATACTTGTCAAAAAAACCAAGTCTCGCAACTCAGTTGTTCTACGGTAAAAAGTTGTGAGATCCATGTAATACCAAGTCCAGGCCAGGAAATCTTTAACGTTTTACATAAATATATTGACTTGGCCATCGCATGAAAACACGTGTAAATTAAATTATTTAGTGCGATGGCCAAGTCAATAATTTATGTAAAACGTTAAAGATTTCCTGGCCTGGACTTGGTATTACATGGATCTCACAACTTTTTACCGTAGAACAACTGAGTTGCGAGACTTGGTTTTTTTGACAAGTATTGTTTTTGATGGGATTTGTTTTACTTGACGGATTTTAATGCAATATCTACCCTCTATGATGTATCGCTTATTTTTTATGATTAAATTCTATTATTTTTTGTTACACTTTCTTCTTATAAAGTCCCAGAATAATTTATTTAGTTAATTTATTTAAAAACTTTATTGCACACACAAAAAAACAGTGCAAAAAGACGAACTTAATGCCATGTGGCATTCTCTCCCAGCTAACCTTAGGCAGGAGGATCATTTTTAGGGTCGAAAGTCCATGTGACCAATAAAGTAACTAGCCGTAATATTATTTATTATGGCAGTATCAAACTCGTACTTTCATCATTCCGTTCCTTTTATCACGAAACGTGTGCTAAATCCCTTCAATATAATTTATCAAATCTGATAAGATCATATCGCACATAATTTCCCGACTTAATACTTTTATTATCAAAATAAACGTGTCATGTTGGTTTGTCCAAAAATCGTAACCTGTTTGTTACTTTTTTTCCTATGTTGGGTAGTGCTGAATTAATCTTCCCACAAAATCGATTGAAATTGACAACATGACATGACACCACCCCGCTATAACAATCAGCGCGACGAGCGGCTTCGATAACAAATTGTTTACTACCTACTTATTTATATTTTTACTCGTATCTGACGATAAAAATATCTTTTCCTTGTGCCTTGTTGGTTCAAGTTAAATAAAACCAGCGTCGGACTGGCCATACAGTCGGGGTGGCATTTGCCAGCCGGGCCCCAGCCTGCGCGGGCCCCCACACGGCCTGGGTTGCGGGGCATGCGGCAACCGTAGCACAGGGGGCCCGCGCAGCGTGGCCCCTGTGCTACGGTTGCCCGCGTCATGTCTCGGAAACGGACAGTCAAGCAGTAGATACTCACATAGAATCCTGAACTATAGAACAAAGCTACAATACCGAACGGTGAAGATGTCAGACTGGCCGAATCGGGATCCAAGGAACACTGGTTTGAACCCCGCCGCCGCTGGACTATTGTGGGGAAACCACTCGTCACACAAACATAATTTAGCTAGGCGCAACGCTCTCCACGGCATTGATGTTGAGATCAGGTCAACCTGATCTTCTGGCTGTTCCGCAACCACAATTACTTGGCCGACAATCTGCACGAGCTCAACCCTTGCTGGGGCGACGACAAGCTTTACCAGGTCACCAGGGACGTGAACATTGCTATGTAGGTACCAGCACATCGCGTATCACGAGCTGATGCCCGCTGTGATCGGTGAGTGGTTGTTGTTTATGGAATATGTTTCTTCCATCAGTAATAATCCCGTCCAGTAATAATAATTATGTTAGTGACCTTGAAAGAGTAACTTACTAGGGGCCCTGGGCACATAAGGATCAAGGGGGGTCTTATCATCTGGAAAAAGGTCTTTTGAGCAGACGGGGGCCCCTTCCGTCGTGGGGCCCTGGGCACGTGCCCAAAGTGCCCAGTGGGAAAGAGGGGCCTGTGTAAACATATTTGTAGGCAAAACAATTTGCTACAAATTATGACATAGCGATTTTTTGTAAGACGCTTAAAAAAGTGTTTTCACCCCTTTTTTCAAGATGGCGGTTGGGGGACAAGGGTGGCGACCCCAAAAACTTGAGGTTAAGCTTCTATTGACCACATTGACCCACACATGTCCCAAAAATAAAATTGCGTTCTCTAATAAATGCAATACTCGGAAAATAAAACAGCAGCTTTTACGATCGAGTCATTAACTGCTTAGCTGAAAGTTCTCCTGTTTTAAAAAAAATGTTGATTGGCTAGCTTTATATTATTATTTGTTATTAGTAAATACCTACTTATTATTTTACTTTATTTTAGTATTGTAATAAATTTTTTACAGTTTGTTTATCTCAATTTGTGTATCTCAGTATTTTTCGATAGTATCCCATCACCATGATCTAGTCTCGGGCCTCGGGATTGCGATCAGCCACCCGGGCCCTTCCGGCCCAGTCCGACCCTGAATAAAACCGTAATTCAATAAACATTTGTCGCTCCTTTATTTCTAGGAACAACATCGACTCAACCGACAAAGGTGGTGACAGAAGCGTTTAATAAATCTGTTGAGGTTTTGAAGAAACCTGACGCGGAGATTTCGAAGAAAGCTGAAGTTGTGTTACCAAAGAAAACTGTTGCCGAGGTTCCCAAAAAGACGGACACTCCATCGAAAGCTCCCAAAGCCTTCACCCTGGATTCCCTCAGGCCTGGCTACACCAGATTCGGCTTCAAGATGAACCTGGACGTCAACCCCTTCAGCATACCGCCAAGACCTGATGCTAAGCCAAAGGAAACTAAACCTAATGGCCTTGTAATAAGGCAGCCCAGTCAACCATCGCTGGCGGGAGCCACATCGAGCAGAAGGGAAATGGCCAAACAGATAGTAATGAGAGAGAGATCGTTTACGTCGTCTCTCTCAGACAAGAGGAATGAGAAAAGGACAATGATAAAAGGTGTGCGCACAAACAGGAGGTTTGACTTGCAGATGAAGTTGAGGAATATTAACTCGTGAATGTGTGAGTATGTTTTATCGTGTAAATGAAGTGAGAATGTGAACTTTTATCTTTATAACGGCTGGCGTGTGCCAGCTTTGATTTTACTAATCCTGTAAAGTACAATTATGACAATTATTAACACTCGTAAAGTCTTTTTTATTCGTTGGTATTATCCATATGTTGCTCTAAAAAATTAGCTTCTCATTTTTTAGATAAAAGATTAATTTAAAATGTGTCCATGTCGGAACCGAACCCAAAACATCTGAGTCTGGCGCAGACCACCGACTTTTCGTTGGACGATAGTTGTCCCCGATTTTAATTTGCATGAAGAATCGGCCGATTCCAAATCGATGTGGTGTGCGCACTTCCATGCATGTTCTAATACTGATCAACAGCCCGACCCAACTATCGGCCAACTAAAAGTCGGTGGCTCTCGGCTTAGACTATGGCGTCCGTAGCGTAGCTTACTAACCACTGGTTATGGACAAATGACGATTTATATTAACTATCAATTGTACTCGAGTCTAAAAGATAAGTTAACCGCGGGTTGACCTTGTAGGAATCAGTTTGTCATTTATTTGTTAAGGTAAATATTAACAATATTGAGTTGACTTGCTTACTGTACCTACTTACTAACATACGAGTTCGGTAATAAAAAAAATCTTTAAAAGCTTTTTTTAACGTAGTTATAATCATTATATTCTTATTACTTACTTACGTTAATTTTTTTGCAATATTATTTACAAAACTTTTTTTTGTTTTGTTCATTGGTACGTCGTGTTATCTTTTCACTAATTACTTGTGGTAGGATTATTTTAAAGTTTTTGAGTACTAAACAAAGTTACTTTTTTAATGAATTAGTTAAGTCCGGATTAATAATAATTCTACATTTTTGTTAAACTTAAACATGTAATGAATTTCGTTATTGCTTTTTATTAAATTAAAAATTGCCCTATAGTACAGTCAATTCGGTAATAGTCAAAATGTTTCATGTTGGTTATTATCGCTGTAAGTTGTAATCTTCACAATCTTTATGGTCCAAGTAATACAAATGTACGAGTTTAATGGACGGAAACTATAATTATATGACGGTATCGCCATTATGACTATTGTTTAAAAACATTCTCTCCATTTTCAATGGAAAATTTTTGGATAACCCCGGTGTAGGGTTGAAAATCAACTAAATCATGTTTCAAGCTGGCCTTGCATGTCATCTATTTAAATATGTTTTGGTTCGGATAATATTATACTAATGAATGATTATGAACTGTTTTCGGTCAGACATTTTTCGCCACCGCGATCTATTTATAATACAGCGCGCGCCATCTCTCGGCAGCGGCGAAGAAACCGTGAGACATTTTAAATGTACAAACTTTTTGTTTGTGAGATTTCCCGTTTCAGAGCACCTAAATACTACCATAATAACGGAAACAGTTCAATTGGTTCGAAACTATAATTTTGTATCTCTAGTAAATGTTTATTTTACTCGCTGATCAAATGTTTGATGCTTCCGCAGTGACTCAGATATGACAATGTATTTGAATAGATATAAAAACGAACATTGAACAAATTCAAGTTAGACGTAGTTTTTTGTTATAACCATCCGACGTTTTGTAAGTAAAAGCTGTTGTGAGACCGCACTTATCTTTCAATGAAAACCAAGCCGTGCGGAAAATTCCTGCTCTCGACTTCCAAGAAGTCTCTGACTATATTTAAAGTCTTATCAATTATCACAAATAATAAAAGAATGAGCTGACATAGTTTTATCAAGATAGGTTTGTAGTTTTGATAGTACAGAACATCTTAGATTAAATGCCATAAACTATTTATTCACACAAACTGTGCCCCTATTGTTACCGTCCAAAATGAGTCCTAAACTACTATCCAATAAGTATTCCTCCAAAAATTTGCAACTTTGCGTGACTCTTATACAAATACAATACAAACCGCTGCGCTTTAATGTACAAGCGCAAACGCAGTGGCATGGCGGCCCATTATTAGGGCACGTGGTATTGTGACATACTGATATGGATGACACACCCGCGCTTGTAAGTCAACACAGACAACCGCGTGTGAGTAATAATTGGAAATTACTACTACGTCACATTTATAATGTTATTACTTAGTCTCGTACGATTCTATTCCTTATTATTCTCTAATCACTTCTTCCATTTACTTAATTAGATTACAAGTTTGTTAACGAAATTACAAGTTTCCTATATCTTTCCTTCAATTCTTTATCTCCAAAACAACATCGGTCATAAAGTAATAATGCTGACGTAATTAAATTCCAATTAACCACAGCGGAAGACATCAAGTACGCTAATTGTGTGCCACAGGGAAACATTTTGTCATCTATCGCCTTTTTAAAAGTAGCTACTGTTAGACTTCGAGATTATAGTGTCAAAAACAAATTCACTCTTACTATTTAAGTAAGTTATTTAATTTAACCACTATACGAGAGCAACAAAACCATGACAAGAAAAATCCGCGCAGTAATTAAGACATTTGACCTTATTATGTTTTGAACTAAACTTCAAACTTCTTCAATTTACATCCAATTAACCCCAAGACAGTTTAACTTTCCCCGGGGACTACCCAACCTTCGCCGGTTAGGTTTTATTGGCTGGCTGGCTTCCATTAAAATATAGACGTTTACACTGGGAATTACAGCGATGGGAACGACGAGTCCCATATGTTTGATATTATATTTATAACCGATGCATTATTTTTTAAAAGAGTTTGTATCTTAACTTTATTTTATTGACGCCTATAAGGGCATACAGACGACGTGACGTGAGCGGGTCGTGTTTCCATTTTAATTGACAACCGTTAGCGTGTGATTTGACGTGATTCGAAGACTGTTAATTTTATGCAAACTTCACATCATACCGCACTCACGTCGGCTGTGTTCTCGCAGTACACATTAAGCTGTAATATAAATAAAGCCGTCTATTATCAAGATAATTATGTTGTTATATTGTTTGTCGAAACATTTTTGATAACGTTTTTATAAGTATTACTCGCTGTAGCTAAACGTGTCATATGTACAGTGTAATTTATGTAATTTTACTGAAGCGTTGATTAACATTTAATAACAGGCCCATATATTTGTGCCATTTTTATCACCTAATTTTGCTTTATGTTTAGTTCATAGTTATTTTCCTTAACAATAAACAGTTTTATGTAAGCATGTTTTTCCTTTAACAGACAATGTATGAATTATTGAATGCATTGACTATGTGTTACATTATGTAAGAAAATTGACATGAAATGGCAAGCTATAAAACAGATTTTTTTGTATTTTAACCCTTATTCAAATAAAGGTAGATATATTACCACTTCGTTTACTTTTAAAAAAGGATCCTAATTTTCGATATGGTGATACTTAAAGATATCGTGGTCACGTATTTATATTTTTAAATATATTTTTTTACTTATCTATGCCATTTTACAACTTTTCAACGTCATTTGTCACTGTCAGGTAATGTCAAAGTCAACCTAACGGTTTTGGTGTGAAAAATTTCAAGTTTTTAGCGCGCGTTTTTGGTATTTTTGAAACTTTGTTCTACGAAAATTCTGATAAGTGTTTTTTCGATTCAAAATCCTAAACTATAACATTTATTGTATAGTCTCACTTATAGGCAGCGTCTGCAATTGATTTATTCATATAGTTTAGACATTTTAAAGAAGTGGTAAATAGTTTACCACTGTCCGATCCCGTCTTGACAAAAGTTTGAAGATATATAAAAATAACTGTTGTTTTTTGTATGTGCACAAATAAAACTAAATAAATATTTGGAGAAATTTTAAGTTATTTTGATAACTGTTTACGTAACGTTTTGACATTACGTAATTAGTGAATTTATTGTTAGTTTCAGACTCAAGGTAAGCATAATAATTGTAAGCATAATGACCAATATTAATAAATATTATTTTTATAAAAACAATATTATTTCATTCCCAAAATATTTAATAAAATATAGGTAGAACCAAGAGGAAGTCACTAGTCAAGAACCAAAAATAAACCAAAACGGACAATGGTAACTATTTTACCACCAACATTGAATAATTTGTAGTCATGAATGGATAATGGTAAATTATTTACCACCCAAAAAACTACCCCTTCCCCTATTTTTTAATAAATTTTGATCAAAAATATGAAATAAGTGACCCACAATTACCCAAAATCCATTTCAACTTTGTAAAAAAAATGCATACCAGCTCGCATTTGAATAAGGGTTAATACAAACACACAGGATGGAAAAAGCAGGTCGGCAAAAACTATTATTATTGTAACAACGATGTAGAATTAACATATTCTAGGAAAACAGGAATCTGTGTATTTCATTAAGCAGTATCAAAACGAAATTAAAACGCTAGGCTCAGTTTCCGGAAAAAATACATAAATTCATTTTTTGCCAACCTGCGCACTCTGTATAACGCTGCTCGGAGTTCCAGTATACGTAACGAGGATCCTGGAGCCATGCCAGCGGTGTCATACAGACCTTTTACTTCGCAGGGAAACTACAAATTGGCTACAATCAGATTTATTAATGTTCCAACATAGAAGCACAGTATGGTACGTGATCACACAAGGAGGCACACTCGTGCCACAGTTACTCCTCCACTCATTGTACATTCAACGTTATACTCGAAAATATTTTAGATTCCAAATATTCATATTTACGACTAAATAATAACTCGCTACTGGACTCGACGTCGAGATATTCGCTATTTCCATTGTAACTAAAAGTCAGTATCTCCCGCTCGCCTTAGCGAGTGAAAAAAGACAAGATACCGCGATCAAACTAAAATATTTTAAAAAGCATTTTCAATTTGCAAATCGCTGAACATAGCTCGATGTAGTCCCGTCCTTTTTCATTTATTAAAAAAAATGGGGAGAAATAGGACTGAGTTCTAGTTGTAAAGATAGCTGACATCTCGGCACTGAGTCCTCTGTATGGGGAGCACGCAGCCGGCCGCGGGTCCGCGAGAGTGAGATCAAGTCGGGCTCGGGGCCAGCGCCAGGCGGACCGACGACCGACCGCGTAGAGTCGCAAGCACAATTTTTGCCTTTCCAGTTATTAAAACAGCTATTCGCGTCGCACTTCTGTGAAAACTATATCTATTTACTCATATTCGTTATTATTTAGTCTTACAATACAAAATTATCCCTTGTGCACGGAATACATTATCACTTACTTTGAACAACGTTCATGGAAAAACACTTGTACTGTTCTATTAAAATACCATCTCACCATTAATTTAAATAGATTGTTAGGGAAAATAAATATCTCACTCTTAAGGAAATGCTTAGCTTTTTCAGTGTACAGAAAGGTATATAAAATATTTTTTACAAATTGAGCTCTTGAGGTCGTGTCAGCACTGACTCGGCTCGGGCTCGGACCCGAGTGTCTCAAAAAGGCAAGATTCCGATAATAGGGTACAACAATAAAATACAGGGGTCAGAGGACGGATTGTCTCAAGGCAAAAAGGCTGCCCGCAGTACTCGAGTTAAGAATCAGTTCATAAAAATAACTTTATTTTTTTAGGATTTCGTGTCAAAATTGTTGAAGGGTTTCTCCGCCTCTATCCAACTGTAATCGTCTTCAAAAGCTGGCGTGGCTATGATAGTATTGTTTAGTATCCACGCCAGCGCCGCGCATCGAATCAATGTCTGACAGGAGCCCGTAGCGAAGGCCTAGGTCGCGGGACGCGCTGCCACGAGAGCTAATTGACTCGTACAGTCGCTTTACTGAAATAGCTAATGTAGTAATACTTTCTATTCCTATAACATTATCATTATTTAGTCTAGGTTTACTACAGATTTCATTTGGCAAATTTCACGAAACAAAATTGATAATATTTTGTCGTGTCGCTAAAACAAGGTGTTCATCATTATTATCTATGTCTATCGACACGACAATATTCACTGACCAAACAAGCTGTATGAAAATTACGTAGATATGTGATTTTTTCCAGTAGTAACAAAAATATGTACCGCATGATAGTGCTTATAGTTACAATTAATAAGTCTACATACTTGTCTCACTATATTACAATTTTAATATACAAATACATACATAAATTATAACATTTGCTCAGGCACCTAATAAAATTGTTACAAATCTACAGTTTAGCACGAGAATTTAATTTAGTTTTTAGATAAAAACATTTTTTTTAATTCAACTCAGAAACGCGGAGTGGTGGTCGCTCCGGTCGAAAAGTAAGTCTCTTTCAACACAAATAAAATGTGAACGTTTCAACACTTACCTCCTAAAGGGAAACAAATTACACTATCTTACAGTTTATTTACAATTACACAAGTCTCCTTCGAGAGGCAATCTCTGTCTTGACGACTTCGCACACCGACAGTCAACTTTATAAGAATCCAACATTTGTAAGAACTTTTAAAACTCAGATATACGTAAGTAATCGATATTCGCAAGAACGACGTCGTCAAGACTCAAAACAACCCTAAAATAATACTCAAAAATAAGAACTAAAATACTAGTAGAGCTCACACATCACACAAAAACTTTTTTTAGTTAAACGAATTAAAAACCATAAGATACCTTAAATTTATCAAAAAAGAATAAGGCAGATTTTGTTTCAGAATAGAAACTGAAGGTGTGCTAAAAGTTTGGCTTGTATAATACTGGGAAATGTTACTTTTATTTCAGATATTTTCTACTTATATAAAATACCAGGAAAATGTTTCAGATCGGATCGAAGTCATAATGAGCACAGGCGGTAAAAGTGAAAATACCCTCATGCCGCAGTCCCTGGGGTCTTCGGGTCGGTAATTACAATCTGTCATGCCTGCCTACCCACCATGTTATAGATTCAAAGCAATTTTAATGGAGTTTATCGAATAATAACTTTCATTTGTCAAAAAATGGCGGACGTTGATAGGATTGGTCAACTAAACTACAGTAATTAAACAGTTATGAAGATTACTCAACTAATTACGGTCCGATTGACTTGTGATTTCATTTGAAAAATTATAATATTTTCCATTATACTCAAATGACAATGCAGCAATCACGGCCATTATAGCTGATACGTTGCGGAATATAACCAAAAAATCATTTATTTCAGGAAAATTATGCGTCCCGTGATCATATCTGCATGCCGCGACACAATAATTTGCCTTTCCATATAACCAAAATAACCATGCTATATGAAATTGTGCCTTTAACAATAGCTGTTTCAGGGTCAAGTTGGCCCCGTGTCGTGTCGCTTCAATTTTCGTTTCGATTCCTTTACGTTTCCATCCCTTTATGCTTCGTCCTATCTCCAGAAAATAATTTGTTTCTGAAGAGCCTTTTGTGCCCTACCTTTTACGTAACATCGCTAGTCGCTAAGCGGTATTACAGCTCGTCGATATAATTATTTATTGTGATTCTACATCTTGTCTGTGGGTCGTAGTCAAGTTTTTGTGATGATTCGGATGCAGCGTCACTCAACTTGGCCTTAACACTTGTTACTCGGCTTCGATTAAAGCAATTTAACTTTATAATTACCCTCATACAGACTAGTAGCGCTTGTGTTATGAATTATTACGGCCCAATTTCAAGTTAGTTTGGTTAATGCACGGCTAACGTTAGTTTGGGCATTTTTGTTGTCAACGAACGGCCTTGAACGTTTGGTAACGAAGAACAAACTAAAGTTTGGTTGAGATAGAAAATATTTGGAACGCCAACATCAGTGTTGTGAAATGTTTTCTTATCTGTACAAGATGTTCAGTACTTTGGCATTTATTTATTTTTATAAGGCCACGTAGAAACTAGCCAAAACTTTTGAAATGTTGTTAAATTAGCATAGCAACCAGTTTCGAGATAAAAGATGCCTAAAATATCGCTTAAGGAAGAATCATATTATCAGCTGTATTATTCTCACTATAAAAGTAAATAACCAATTTAGGGAACTCTCCCTTTTCTTTAGCGGGGAGAATGTTGGAATAAAGTTACAGCAAAATTACCTAGCGTTTACCATGCTCTGACGTCACACTACGTGGGCGTCGAAAACAATACTCAATGGTTATTTCATCAGAGCAGCTAAGCAAATACAATGTTTGCTTTCGAGCTTAAAATCTTTTGTCTGGACCGTTTAATTTGCAATTTAATAACATTGCCTAGGTTCGGGCGTTGATAATTTAAAATAGATAAGATGAGTATTTTTGTCTGCTAGCTGTGTTTACGTTGCTCATCAGTCGTGTTAGATTAGAATGTGGATATCAATTGCCTTGACCTTTATTAATTTTAATAAATATTTGTCAATAAAGTGTTATCAGTGGTCTGGCGTGATTCCGTCTAATTATCACGTTAAATTTCACGATACTCTTATCGAGAGCATTCCAAAAGAAGATGGCCGGGCAAACTATTCTTCATGTGGCATAATTTCCTAAGCCTCAGAATATTTTAAGGTCTACAATAAGACAGATCTACAGCTTCTAGCTAAATATAATAATTCAGGCAATCTACATCAGTATTCAGTCGCGTTTTTCCCCGAAAAGAGCTTTAGAACATTACCTAGAATTATTTTTACTGGATTGTAAAAACCTAAATTATGTTCTTACATTTCGTGTTTTATAACTTGAAATCCGACATCGCTCGCGAAGCCCGAACATCATAAAGGCATTTTATTAACCCATTCTAGACCTAATATCAGAATATGAGTTATGGTAGACAGACCACTTAGTACTGGTACAGAATAGATAGTTACTAATAAAGAACTTGCATTGTCCAAGGTCACTTGATAAATAGCTGATAATAAAATGCAATCTTGGTGGCAGCTTTGTTAGGTGCTAAAGAAATTAAAAGCCCTGTCATTACTCACTATGTTCTGTCTCCGTCGTAGATATGATTTTGAAAGATAGCGAGAGCCGCGTTGTGCAAATATTGCGGCAGCCCTTCTGTTGTTAGTTTGTATTGATTTGTATCGTTAACGATACGACCTAGCAGCAGGGTGCTAGTGTTTTTTCGCGCGACGGAATCTTGGTACCAGGGTCATATAGATTCATCAATAAGAGTTTAAAGTGATAGCATATTTGTTATTTGACGTCAAATATCTTCCACACTCAGTCAATAGAGAAAATTCAAAACAATAACTAAATGAATCCGAACTGAATCCATACTTTCGCAAGGAACTGTGATCATCGTTAGCAGAGGTGGAAGTTTTTAAGCCGTTGTAAATGAGTCAACAAGTAGCTGGTAAACATATATTATCAGCTACACACCTCTATTGCGTGTTTAGCGTTACTTTTTCTTACATAATTTGCTTAATTATATTGCCTAGTGAATGAGTACGATTATAGAAAAGGGGTGGGTTAAAAATAACGGCCTACAGCCTGAAGAAATGGAAGGGCTTCAATGCTCAAGGATTAAGGAGTGAGATTCACTCCTAATAAAAAATATAACTTGACAGTCTCGATGTTCCAAATTATTAAATTTAGCTATCGAGCTTATAGCTTAACTTGGCTTAGTGTTAGCACCAAAAGAAAATAGGCAAGTTAAGTGGCTACAAAGGCCTCATCATTAAGTAGCTGTAGACCTCGCCATAAGTCGAAGTGTTATTGATTCGTAGCTATAAAGAAGTATTCCCAAGTTAAATAAATTATTCATACTTTTAGTGGTTTCACGCGATACTTCACAATACAGCGGTAAGTTTTGGCACTTTTGGCAGCATTACGATTTTGGTGGCCTATGTCACTGCCAAGCTGAACAGCTGTTTTATGTTGGGGGTTTTTCAAGTCCTACTGAAGGACTTTTTATTACTTGAGTCGTCAAACGAGGGGAAAGTTAGTATGGTTTTATAAAAGCTTTTGAATATACAAATGTCTAACGTTTTATTGTTATGGAAGGTGAAGGTGAACGTGAACTTCTGGAAAGTCAGGTCAAACGATTGAACATATCTCAAGTATAAAAGCACTTCATGAATTGGAAGTCCTGACAAAAATATCCACAACACGCAGTTACGTCAAAACAAAAGACCGTCGCGAAAGTATTTTATTGACTCAGCACCAGAAAGCTGAGATACTGCATCACTCGGGCGCATGCAACAGCGCCATTAAACACGAAAGGCAACCCCAACAAAGACAGAAACACCCGTGACCCCGTTATTATGGACCCACATTCGCCGCGTTCAGTAAGGAGTCTCCAAATTTATGGGCTCGCGGAACCGAGTGCCAGGACGTTCAGTTTGGCGTGAGATACGGCGCTACTTGACTATATGGTTTCTTGTCAGCTAACTGAAGGACATTGCTGTAAGGCTATAAACGTATAAAACATTTTAGGCCTTGCTGGTTTAGAGATTTACGCGAACTTAAGAGCTTAATTTCTGAACCTTTTTGTTATTAGCGTAACTGGAATTGTATTAAAACTTAAGGTTTAGTAATATTAAAATAAAATGCCTAATTAAAAAATGAACAATTAGGGAAGGCAAATCCTGCATCATGACACTAATAGAGTTAATCATTCGTTAGAGTTATTCTAGCAGACAATTGAGGCAGTTAAGGATGCATAGTATGCCGGCGTCAAACTTCGAACTTGTCAGGATCGTCATAAAGATAGTTGGACTTTATGGAACTAATTTAATAGAATGGGGAGGAATCCCACGCATTTTAGCATTTTCTGCTCTAATAATTATTGCCATACTGGCTATTAATACCTTGATCATTCAAATACAGCCTTAAAGGCAAAAAAGTTAGAGGTCAAATCATGACTAAGCACACTGAATGTATAGCCAATATTTCCATTAAAATTTTGTATTGCCATTGAACTGTTTGATAAAACAGATATTCCTGGTTTTCCTTATTTAAATTATGTTAAGTTATAAACAAATACATCTGCAGGTTCAGTTCTACAGAACTGTACCTACCAACATAGGTAGGTTGAAAATAAACAAGAATAAAAGATAAGAAGTGAGTGTGGAGGCCAATGCCCCAGTAGGGGGAGCTGTAAAGTGGATGTCATTATGAGTATATTTGCACTGTGAGAACTAAGTTTTTGTTTGTTATAGTCATTTGCATATTTTTTTGAATAAATCATTCTAAATTATTATATTATTGAGTTTTGTTTATATCTTTTGAGTCCAAAATTATACAAGCCAAATCATTTTGCTTTTAAAAACTATATTTAATTGAAAAAAAATCTATTTGGAAATTAAAAACTAAAACTTCATAAGAACCAATACTTTTATGCTTCCAATCTCTTTAGATAAAATAATTTAGCTATTTTGTAGGTACTTCTGGTAACCATTTTCCTATAAATATACATAAATATAAAGTAATAGTAGTTTTTTAATTTCACTTTGTATTGCTTATCATACAAGCTTTAGAAGTTTTGGCCGCAAAACACATCTTTAAAATACAATATGTATACAACTCGTATTTAAATGGACACGGCTAAATCTAGGTTCAGATTTTAAAATACCCTATCATGATGATGTGAAGATGTCGCTTTTTATGTTTACGATTACATCAATTCCATGCAATTGATAAAGTCTTTAAGTGTTACACTAGTCGTGATCAAAGCATGACTCACCGATGCAGATAAATTGAATATAATCAATACACCAAAACTGAGATTGTTGTGTGATGCTCGGCTCGAAATACGAAACAGAGGACTCGTAAGACGATTTCAATGATTTTAATCCGACAAAATATGTACAATCGAGTCGAAAGTATTACAAAAACAGTCGTAAAGCTTAAAAAACACCAAGCGTTAGGAGACGCGGGAATGTAACGGTGCGGATCGAATCGGATTCGGAACTCACTCACTCGAGTCGGCTTCGGTGCCTCACTGAGAGTCAGACGCTGGCCGCGCGGCCGGCCGGGGCCCGCAGCTAGAAGGCCGCGGCCTCCGGCGCCATCAGCGGCGACAGCGGGCCCGCCACGCGCCGCCCGCGCTCCACCTCGAAGCGCAGCTCGGGCGACGCGCGCCGCACGCCCGCCGCGCCGTCCTCCGGCAGGAAGGCCGCCACCAGCAGCGCGCAGATCACCAGCAGCGCGCCCAGCACGAACGGCGGGCCCGGCACCACGCGCGCCATGCGCTCCTGCTCGCGCGCCGAGCCCGCGTGCTCCTCGTTCAGGTCCACGTGGAACAGGTAGAAGATCACGCCGAACATGGCCGGCCCCAGCCCGTTGCACAGCCCGCGCACGCCCGTCACCATGCCCTGCACCACGCCCTGGCGGTCGGCGCGGCTGTTGACCGACACGTAGGCGCTGATCGCCGGGTACGTCACCGAGCCCAGCGCCGCCAGCACGCCCGCCGCCCACATCATCCACGTGCGGCTCCCGAAGCCGTACCACATCAGCTGCAGCATCTCGAACAGCAGCCCCACCATGATCGTGTGCTTGGCGCCCAGCGACTTCATCAGGTCGCCGAGCACCACCTGCACGCCGATGCTGAGCACGCCCACTATCGCGATGAAGATCGCCACTTGCACCACTCCGAAACCCATCACCAGTTTGAGGTACACGAATATGCACGAGTACTGTCCCGCCTCCGGCAGGTAGGACAGGAACACCGCCACGCACAGCATCAGCACCGTGCGCTCGGCGCCGACCTTGCGCAGCGCCGCGAACGGGTCGGCCTGCTCCCAGCTGATGGCGGGCCCCCAGCCGCTCGGCCGGACCTTCTCCGGCAGGCTCTCGGGGACCGCCACCATGATGAAGAACACGTCGAGCACCGCCACGGCCGTCGCGGCCGCCACCACCAGCGCCTCGCCGTAGCGGTCCATGAGGTAGGCGCCGAGCGCGGGCGAGATCACCATGCTGGCCGCGAACGTCGCCGACACCAGCCCGTACGCGCGCGAGCGCTCCGCCTCCGTCGTCACGTCGGCCACGTACGCGAACACTATCGAGAATGTCACCGCGAAGACGCCACTGATGCTTATCATCGCGAAGAACCACCAGGTGTTTATTGTCATCAGCGGGATGGGCGCGCACGTGAAGAACACCGTCACCAGCAGGAAGAACTTGCGGCCCCACACGTCCGAGAGGGCTCCGATGAGAGGCGCAGAGAGGAATGACAGAATGCCCTTGATGCCCATTATCAAGCCGTTCATTAGGAACGTGTGATCCGGGAACGTCGCGTTCAGGACCGATATTATCGGCATGGTGAGCAGGCCCCACGCGAAGAACTCCAGAAAGATGACCACGAGAGCGTGGAAGACCGAGGGCTCCCCGATACCCGACATTGTCATAATCCCGTCTCTTATCACAGTTTTTCTGTTTCGTATCACCATTTCTACTTCAGTTTTGGTGGTCTTCGTGGGCGTCATTTAAAATTGAAATTGTATTTTCCTACAAAACTACTTATATTAGACACATTATGAAAACCTAAGCACTACATGGAGGAAAACTTGATTTTACACAAGCAAGCAAGTAGAAGCAACGTCAAAAATCCACTGGAAAATTGAAAAACAACTCAATATTCGTGTTGCCATATTATGATTTTGGATTTCAACTAAAATCTTTATGACGTATCAAGTCAATGAGTAATCAACAAAAAAGCGTCAGTTAATGATTTTTTTAATCATACTGCGTCCTTAATAATCACTATCACTTACCACACTGTTTCTAATTACATACCTTCATAGGTTCTAAATAACTTTAGGTCAAATTTAAGTTACGATATACGACGTGATTACGTGATGGTCGTGATCTGTCTTAATTTTATTTCTACCAATCTATCTTTGAGTTCCTTAAACTGGCAACATTTACTGCAGATAGACCATAAACAAAAATGAAACCACAGATAATTAAACTACTTTTGTACTTTTTTTTAGTCATACAATAATTTGTTGTTAGATTTTTTTTAATAATTTACAAAAACATAAGTAAATTAATAAAAAATCTTAACTGTATTTTTAACTTGTTTTATTAATTTAAATTAGAAACAGACTTTCTGAAAATGACGACTTGAACTTTTTTTTTTGTGACTTCCACAAATCTGTCATGAACTGTCATCACTGTCAAACTGCAAGGAAGGAGGCGTCAACGAAACCGATTTTCTCCTTTTTTCACGTATAAATTGAATACTACAATGGTAAGAAAGATTTTTAGGATTATAAACCAATAGCTATTTGCATTATCCTCATGTGATAATTTTTTTCCTTCATTATTTTATAGATTCGTTTCATTTTAATCCAAAACCGTGCGGGGAAGACTCGGTTGGCGAAGTGGTACATGAATTTCGATGATGATGAGAAACAGAAGCTTATCGAGGAAGTTCACGCCGTTGTGACTGTTCGTGATGCTAAGCACACCAATTTCGTTGAGGTAAGATGGCCGCAAAAACTGTTTACATGATGAAAATTTTATTTGTTGTCACTCATAGAAATTGTCGGTTTTCAGTTTCGAAATTTCAAAATCGTATACCGCCGATACGCGGGGCTGTACTTTTGCATCTGCGTGGACGTAAACGACAACAACTTGTGCTATCTGGAGGCGATCCACAACTTCGTCGAGGTGCTCAATGAATACTTCCACAATGTATGCGAGTTGGACTTGGTTTTCAACTTCTACAAGGTAAGAAAACTCCTTCAATTCCGTGCTTATTTTTTATTCTTCGGCATTTGTGTGAGATTTTTATTATTAATCCTGTTTCTAATGTATTTTAGGGCTGATTTTTCAATCGTCAGATAACTTAACTGAAGAATAAGTTTGGCACATTGACAGTTTCAGTATGGGAAATATGTCAAAATGACAAGCTTATTCTTCAGTTAAAAGATATCTGACGATTGATAAATCAGCCCTTATTGCAATAAACAAATAATTAGATTTTTGCAACATCTAAACATTAAAATGAATGTTCAAAAAATCATTAGCTACCTAAACCTGTTATCTCTTATACTAACTACAAGTTTTAAGCGAATAAGTTATAACTGGTATTATTATCTATTTCCAGGTATACACAGTGGTTGATGAAATGTTCCTGGCTGGCGAGATAAGGGAGACCTCACAAACTAAAGTCCTGAAGCAGCTCCTCATGTTGAACTCGCTGGAGTAAACACAGACAAACGGAATGCAACCTGGTTCTAATGTAGGGGATCTTTTGCGTTGGATAGACAATACTCATGGATTACTAATGTTTGGCCAAAAAACGTTTCCCAAATTATCACATCGCAAACAACGTATCGCAAATTTTCATTTGGCAAATTCTCATTTGGCAAAGCAACTTATTGCAAACTTTTAATTCGCAAATGTTGTTTTTGGCATATTATTGTTTAGCAAATTATTGTTTGGCAAAGTATGGTTTGCCAAATGTTTCATTAGGCAAAAATATTTCACGATAAACTATTTACAAAATAATTTAATTGGTGCATAGAATCGATACAAATTAGCTTGTTTAGTGGGTAGTTAATATAAAATTTGTTCTACATTAATTTCCTTATTTCATTCTTTTTATCGAAATTTTCAAACGATTCATTAACAATAGAGGTGATTCTAGCGCTCGGCGGCCGCTGCCGCGGCACGCTTCGCTCGCCTTCGCGCATTAAGGGTCACTGTTCTAACCTAACCTAACCTACTTTTTTCTGCAATACCTACTTTTTGCAACCATACTATTTTCTGCAATGTTTTACATAAAATTATTGTGAAAACCATGATCATGTGCCTTATGCTTTGATTTGTGGGTAACGGTGGGTAAGTATGTGAAGTGTCAATTTGACCAAACAAATTATTTGGGATATAATATTTGGCAACATAAAACATTTGCTATATAAACATTTGCCAAGTAAAATTTGGCCAAATGATAATTTGACCAAATGAATTAGTTGCGAAAAGTACAGTTGCTAAAAGTTCATTTGGGAAATGAAACTTTGGCGATAAGTTGTTTGCGAAGTGAAATTTGGCGAAAAGTAATTTGGCCAAACGGAAGGATACCCAAACGGATTACTAATGTTTGGCCAAAAAACGTTTCCCAAATTATCACATCGCAAACAACGTTTCGCAAATTTTCATTTGGCAAATTCTCATTTGGCAAAACAACTTATTGCAAACTTTTAATTCGCAAATGTTGTTTTTGGCATATTATTGTTTAGCAAATTATTGTTTGGCAAAGTATGGTTTGCCAAATGTTTCATTAGGCAAAAATATTTCACGATAAACTATTTACAAAATAATTTGATTGGTGAATAGAATGATATTATACAAATTAGCTTGTGGTTATTATTTTGTTTAGTGGGGAGTTAATATAAAATTTGTTCTACATTAATTCATTCTTTGTATCGAAATTTCCAAATGATTCATTAACAATAGAGGTGATTCTAGCGCTCGGCGGCCGCTGCCGCGGCACGCTTCGCTCGCCTTCGCGCATTAAGGGTCATTGTTCTAACCTAACCTAAAGCACAGAATAAGTAATAGTACAGGTACAGAAGGATTACTCCGCAAGACGATTTAAATAAATGCGAGTCTTGCTACGACGCGATACAGTGGAATTCAGCTCGCACAGCACTACGTACCTACAATTTTATTCACCTACAAGTTTTGTCTCTTTCTATCGCGTGCCTCTGAACTCTTCTTACGCTGTTAGGGTTGCTGTCTAGTGAAAAAATAATTATTCTACTTATTTGTAATGAGGTACGTATGTAGGTAAGTATGCATTCATTATGGAAAACCTTCATAGTAGGTTAGGTTCCTATACTATCCTAAGAATTATTGATTACCTACATGGCCAACATACCTTTCAGCATCTTTGGGAAGCGAAAAAAATAGATAAATCCGGTAGATTACTTTTCGAATTTAAACACCCGAACGCCGCACAATATTTCTTTCTCTTTATGTCCATTTTTAAATAATACTTCGATCATAGAATTATAATCATACTACAACGCACGCCAGCGTCCTGACGAGTGCGCGCGTGACACTCGACTGATATAATACCCGCCGGCGGGGCGCTTCGCTGTAGGTAATTATCGGATGTACCGCGCGGAGTGAGCCAGGCCTGCCTAACCTACTATTTTCTGCAATACCTGCTTTTTTCAACCATACTATTTTCTGAAATGTTTTACATAAAATTCTTGTGAAAAAACCATGATCATGTGCCTTATGCTTTGATTTGTGGGTAACGGTGGTACTTACCCACCCAGTATGTGAAGTGTCAATTTGACCAAACAAATTATTTGGGATATAATATTTGGCAACATAAAACATTTGCTATATAAACATTTGCCAAGTAAAATTTGACCAAATGAATTAGTTGCGAAAAGCACAGTTGCTAAAAGTTAATTTGGGAAATGAAACTTTGGCGATAAGTTGTTTGCGAAGTGAAATTTGGCGAAAAGTAATTTGGCCAAACGGAAGGATACCTAAACATTTATGTTATGTATTTGTAAGTAGTAATAGTTGATCTGAAACTTAATATTTGTTTCGGACCACAGATCACGGTTCTAGTACTGTTTTAATATAAGAATCTGTATATAAAGGTTTATTGGTGTTTACAATAACTTAAAAGAAAACACTATTTGTAAAACTTGATTTATTTATCGTAAATAATGTAAAAAACTTAGTTATAAAACTATTGATTTCAATATATTACTATGATTATAAGTAGACTTTTTTGCATTTGGTATTCCCCTATGAAACATTGTAAATGAGATTTTGGGATTTTTATTTTATTCCCAAGAAACGAGTCATTTTCTCATAAAAATCTAGCCCCTTCTAGCTGTTTACAGCTGCTAGCTGAATTTAAACTATAACTTTAAATAATAGTCACTTTCACTGCTGCATTCTCATAAGAAATTATATTATGTTATCAATTAAGTTGTTTACAACTTGAGGTGGATAATGGAGAATCCCCCTTGTAGAGAGGCATTGAGTGATGTGACACGACTGAGTTACTAAGCCTAACAAGAGTGACGTTTGGCGGTCACTCCCACTCCCAGCGGTGGAGCAGCGGCGGGAACATCCAGCGGTCGGGGTGGCCCACGTGGGAGATCGTGGGACCTAAGTCGAAGTCGCTCCACCTGCGAAAGGATCAGAGGAAGGTTATTGCATTGGCCAGAGAGTGTTAGAGATAATCTATCTCTATTAAGGCCGATTCGACCAAACTTTTATCAGAGAATAACTGCTGGTTTAAGGCCTCAGCCTCGAACTTAGCGGGCAGCGGGGCGGCGGCGGCGGCGGCGCGGGAGCGGCAGGATTTTATGCGTAAAATCAAATAGACCGGTTCTCGAAAACAGCGGCGCGGCAGCGGGCAACGAGCGGGCAGCGGCAAGGGAGCGGGCAACGAGCGGGCAGCGCACTCCTTCTTTTGCCCACAATAAATCGAGCGTTAGGAATAAATTTGAATCGAAATAAAATTGTCGCCGTTGTTCAGACATTTCGTTTGCGAATAAAAACAAATATCTCGACAACACAACCCCGAACACAACACTTCGCCGCTAAAGCGCCGCGCGAGCTGCCCGCTTATTTCGAGAACGGGTCTGCGTTTAAGGCCTCAGCCTCGAACTTAGCGGGCAGCGGGGCGGCGGCGGCGGCGGCGCGGGAGCGGCAGGATTTTATGCGTAAAATCAAATAGACCGGTTCTCGAAAACAGCGGCGCGGCAGCGGGCAACGAGCGGGCAGCGGCAAGGGAGCGGGCAACGAGCGGGCAGCGCACTCCTTCTTTTGCCCACAATAAATCGAGCGTTAGGAATAAATTTGAATCGAAATAAAATTGTCGCCGTTGTTCAGACATTTCGTTTGCGAATAAAAACAAATATCTCGACAACACAACCCCGAACACAACACTTCGCCGCTAAAGCGCCGCGCGTGCTGCCCGCTTATTTCGAGAACGGGTCTGCGTTGCCCGCCCCGCTCCCGCGCCGCCGCCGCTCCCGCCCCGCTGCCCGCTAAGTTCGAGGCTGAGGCCTAACTGGCACATTGACAGATCAGTATGGGAAATTTGTCAAAATGTCGAATATAGTTCCAAAATACTGGACTGTCCTGTCGATGACATTGACAGCGGGGCGCCACTGTCAATACCGGATCGCTGGTTCAGATTTTTGCCATGTTGGAAACCATATAGTTGAACGATGGTAGCGCCCCCCTGTCATTGAGTTTGGTGGGACAGTTCAGCGTGGGTCATCTATAACTGACGATTTATTCTGAAATGAATATTTACTTATGTCCAATCCACCCTAAGAGTGTGTGTTGCAGAAAACATTTATATTGATCAATTAATTTTAATGAAGGTTTCCTTATTTGTGCTCACCAGTAGGCGCCACTCACAGGCGAGGAAGGTGTAAAGACAATGGCGCCAACTGGTGAGCGCTGACGCGGTAGGCAGACTACCACATTTGCAATCACTAGGTTGGCGCCACTGTCGAGTGAGGTACTATCACTCGCTGTCGCTAGTGGTGTCAAACCCTCGGTAATTATGTAGTAATCGATTTAGTATCGACACAAATTGGACTATCGTTAGTTTATTTTTGTGATAATAGTATCGATTTATAATAATCTAGTTCTCCAATTTTGTAACTAGATGAAATCTTCATCAAAATCAAAGCAATACTATCTTGATTGACTTCAGCCCCCCTAGACAAAATGCAGTTTTTGATCGAATCGAAATTCGAATCTGTCAAAACTCCATACGAAAAAATGCCTATTGACCACTTTTCGACTGGTTTGCGATTTTAATGTGCACTTTGTCTAGACCAGTGGTTCTTAACCTTTAAGTCGTGAGGGACCATTTTACCAAATTTCTGTCTTGTCAGGGACCACGGAAGGTTAGACAAACTTCGTGGGTGCACAGTAGATAGATAAACTGTGGTGGGTGTTTCAAGTAAGGTCATTTTGAGAATAAGAATGTTTTTTTCAAATCCTCACGTCACATCACTTGTTTCTTACGATGTCTTCGCGGACCACTTGGAATGCCTTCAGGGACCACCAGTAGTCCGCGGACCACCGGTTAAGAACCACTGGTCTAGACCCACTGGCTGTCATTGTGACTCACGCGAAGGGCGGGATGCCCCGGGAGATGTTGTAGGTGGGGCTGGCGACGGCGGCGCCGTGGCTGCGGTGTCCGAGCCCAGACTATAGGACCCACGCAGTGGCGGCGTAGCATGGGTTGGTAGCAGCCACGGCGCCACGGACGCCAAGATCACGAGCGCCGGCCTGCGCCCCGC